GTTGCCAACCTGGGAACCACAGGTTACCATTGCAAGGAACTGCCGGTTCCCAGAGGTTGGAACTCCTGGTTCCCAACCTGGGAACCATGGGTTACCATTGCAAGCAACTGCCGGTTCCCTCCTGGGAACCACAGGTTACCATTGCAAAGAACTTCCAGTTCCTAAAGGTTGGAACTGATGGTTCCCAACGTGGGAACCAAAGGTTACCATGGCAAGGAACTGCCGGTTCCCAGACCTTGAAACTTACGGTTCCCAACCTGGGAACCAGAGGTTACTATTGCAAAGAATTGCCGGTTCCCAGAAGTTAGAATTTATGTTTTCGAAGCTAAGCAACTATCATTGTAAGGAACTGCGGGTTCCCAAAGCTTGAAACTCATGGTTCCAAACCTGAAAGTGGAAGGATCTGTTGATTCCAAAAAGTTAGAACTCGTGGTGCTTAATGTTGTTTTGTTTTGTTTACTGAGCCGGTAACAGAACTTTTTGTTTTGCTTAATGGACCGGTAGCGGAATGTTTGCGTTTGGCTGATGGGCCGGCAAAAAAATGTTTTTTGCACGAAAAAGGTGCATGTTAAAATGATATGAAGACATTTTCTGTACAACTTTATGGTTTTGCTTAATGGACCGGTACAGAACGCTTTGTTTTGCTTAATGGACAGGTACCGGAATGTTTGCGTTTGGTTCATGGCAAGGAAGTGCCGGTTTCAAAAGGTTGGAACTCACGGTTGCCAACGTGGGAACCACAGGTTACCATTGCAAGGAACTGCCGGTTCCCAGAGGTTGTAACTCCTGGTTCCCAACCTGGGAACCATGGGTTACCATTGCAAGGAACTGCCGGTTCCCAGAGGTTGGAACTCCTGGTTCCCAACCTGGGAACCATGGGTTACCATTGCAAGCAACTGCCGGTTCCCAGAGGTTGGAACTCCTGGTTCCCAACCTGGGAACCATGGGTTACCATTGCAAGCAACTGCCGGTTACTAGAGGTTGGAACTGATGGTTCCCAACGTGGGAACCAAAGGTTACCATGGCAAGGAACTGCCGGTTCTCAGACGTTGAAACTTACGGTTCCCAACCTGGGAACCAGAGGTTACCATTGCAACGAATTGACGGTTCCCAGAGGTTAGAACTCTATGTGTTCGAAGCTAAGGGCTATCATTGTAAGGAACTGCGGGTTCCCAAAGCTTGAAACTCATGGTTCCAAACCTGAAAAAGCATACGTTACCAGTGGAAGGATCTGTTGATTCCAAAAAGTTAAAACTCATGGTTCTTAATGTTGTTTTGTTTTGTTTACTGAGCCGGTAACAGAACCTGTTGTTTTGCTTAATGGACCGGTAGCGGAATGTTTGCGTTTGGCTGATGGGCCGGCAAAAAAATGTTTTTGCACGAAAAAGGTGCATGTTAAAATGATATGAAGACATTTTCTTTACAACTTTATGGTTTTGCTTAATGGACCGGTACAGAACGCTTTGTTTTGCTTAATGGGCCGGTACCGGAATGTTTGCGTTTGGTTCATGGCAAGGAACTGCCGGTTTCAAAAGGTTGGAACTCACGATTGCCAACGTGGGAACCACAGGTTACCATTGCAAGGAACTGCCGGTTCCCACAGGTTAGAAGTCATGGTTCCCAACCTGGGAACCATGGGTTACCATTGCAAGCAACTGCCGGTTACCAGAGGTTGGAACTCATGCTTCCCAACCTGGGAACCATAGGTTACCATTGCAAAGAACTTCCAGTTCCTAGAGGTTGGAACTGATGGTTCCCAACGTGGGAACCAAAGGTTACCATGGCAAGGAACTGCCGGTTCCCAGACGTTGAAACTTACGGTTCCCAACCTGGGAACCAGAGGTTACCATTGCAAGGAATTGCCGGTTCCCAGAAGTTAGAATTTATGTTTTCGAAGCTAAGCGGCCATCATGGTAAGGAACTGCGGGTTCCCAAAGCTTGAAATTCATGGTTCCAAACCTGAAAAAGCATACGTTACCAGTGGAAGGATCTGTTGATTCCAAAAAGTTAAAACTCATGGTTCTTAATGTTGTTTTGTTTTATTTACTGAGCCGGTAACAGAACCTTTTGTTTTGCTTAATGGACCGGTAGCGGAATGTTTGCGTTTGGTTGATGGGCCGGCATAAAAATGTTTTTGCACGAAACAGGTGCATGTCAAACTGATATGAAAACATTTTCTTTACAACTTCATGGTTTTGCTTAATGGACCGGTACAGAACGCTTTGTTTTGTTTAATGGACAGGTACCGGAATGTTTGCGTTTGGTTCATGGCAAGGAACTGCCGGTTCCCAAAGGTTGGAACTCACGGTTGCCAACGTGGGAACCACAGGTTACCATTGCAAGGAACTGCCGGTTCCCACAGGTTAGAAGTCATGGTTCCCAACCTGGGAACCATGGGTTACCATTGCAAGCAACTGCCGGTTACCAGAGGTTGGAACTCATGCTTCCCAACCTGGGAACCATAGGTTACCATTGCAAAGAACTTCCGGTTCCTAAAGGTTGGAACTCATGGTTCCCAACGTGGGAACCAAAGGTTACCATGGCAAGGAACTGCCGGTTCCCAGACGTTGAAACTTGCGGTTCCCAACTTGGGAACCAGAGGTTACCATTGCAACGAATTGCCGGTTCCCAGAAGTTAGAATTTATGTTTTCGAAGCTAAGCGGCTATCATTGTAAGGAACTGCGGATTCCGAAAGCTTGAAACTCATGGTTCCAAACCTGAAAAAGCATACGTTACCACTGGAAGGATCTGTTGATTCCAAAAAGTTAGAACTCATGGTTCTTAATGTTGTTTTGTTTTGTTTACTGAGCCGGTAACAGAACCTTTTGTTTTGCTTAATGGACCGCTAGCGGAATGTTTGCGTTTGGCTGATGGGCCGGCATAAAAATGTTTTTGCACGAAAAATGCGCATGTCAAAATGATATGCGGCAACGAAAAAGCGCCTTGGCTCAGACCCTGCACAGCACCCTGCACAGCACCCTGCACAACGCCTTTGCCAGACTTCGGCACCGCAATCTGGACAGCACCCTGCACAGCACCCTGCACAGCACCTTGGCCAGACTTCGCCACCGCAGTCTGGACAGCACCCTGCACAGCACCCTGCACAGCACCTTGGCCAGACTTCGCCACCGCAGTCTGGACAGCACCCTGCACAGCACCCTGCACAGCACCCTGCACAGCACCCTGCACAGGACTTTTGCCAGACTTCGCCACTGCAGTCACCCTGCACAGCACCTTGGCCAGACTTCGCCACTGCAGTCTGAACAGCACCCTGCACAGCACCCTGCACAGCACCTTTGCCAGACTTCGGCACCGCAATCTGGACAGCACCCTGCACAGCACCTTTGCCAGACTTCGCCACCGCACTAGTACAACACCCTGCACAGCACCCTGCACAGCACCCTGCACAGCGCCTTTCCTTTGCCAGACTTCGCCACCGCAGCCTGGACAGCACCCTGCAAAGCACCCTGCAAAGCACCCTGCACAGCACCTTTGCCAGACTTCGCCACCGCACTCTGAACAACACCCTGCAGAGCACCCTGCACAGCACCCTGCACAGGACCTTTGCCAGACTTCGCCACCGCAGTCTGGACAACACCCTGCACAGCACCCTGCACAGCACCCTGCACAGCACCTTGGCCAGACTTCGCCACCGCAGTCTGGACAGCACCCTGCACAGCACCAGACTTCGCCACCGCAGTCTAGACAGCACCCTGCACAGCACCCTGCACAGCACCTTTGCCAGACTTCGCCACTGCAGTCTGAACAGCACTCTGCACAGCACTCTGCACAGCACCCTGCACAGCACCCTGCACAGCACCTTTGCCAGACATCGCCACCTGCACAGCACCTTTGCCAGACTTTGGCACCGCAATCTGGACAGCACCCTGCACAGCACCCTGCACAGCACCCTGCACAGCACCTTGGCCAGACTTCGCCACCGCAGTCTGGACAGCACCCTGCACAGCACCCTGCACAGCGCCTTTCCTTTGCCAGACTTCGCCACCGCAGTCTGGACAGCACCCTGCACAGCACCCTGCACAGCACCTTTGCCAGACTTCGCCACCGCAGTCTGGACAGCACCCTGCACAACACCTGCACAGCACCCTGCACAGCACCTTTGCCAGACATCGCCACCGCAGTCTGGACAACACCCTGCAGAGCACCCTGCAGAGCACCCTGCACAGCACCCTGCACAGCACCTTTGCCAGACTTCGCCACTGCAGTCTGGACAGCACCCTGCACAGCACCGTGCACAGCACCTTTGCCAAACTTCGCCACCGCAATCTGGACAGCACCCTGCACAGCACCGTGCACAGCACCTTTGCCGAACTTCGCCACCGCAGTCTGGACAGCACCCTGCACAGCACCTTTGCCAGACTTCGCCACCGCAGTCTAGACAGCACCCTGCACAGCACCCTGCACAGCACCTTTGCCAGACTTCGCCACCGCAGTCTGGACTGCACCCTGCACAGCACCCTGCACAGCACCCTGCACAGCACCCTGCTCAAAAGTTCGCCACCGAAGACCCCACCTTTGAGAAGTAAGAACCCCTATAGCTTGCCAGCTATCTGGGGAAAAACAGGGATTTAAACCATAAAATCAATGGAATTGGGGGAGGATGAACCAATGACAATGGAGGAAACCAACCAACAATGGGGGTATAGGAGATAGGCTTTTTGAACCAACAATCTGATACAAGAGTTTGTTCAGAAATGGGATGTGCTTCAGAATGGGAAACGGATGATCGACCTATCAACCATGTCATTTGGGGACGCCCTATGCAGCCCAACCTCTCGATTGTGGTGACCATTCTCCATATAGGTATTGTTTTCTGCCTGACAAAGATGGTGCGGCCAGACGGGGCTTTTGTGTGGGAAATAGTGTCGGCTACTCCATTTTGGGACTGCGAACGCCCCAGAACTGGTTCGAACCGTTGGGGGGTGATTTGAGCGCATGGACTTCAGAGGTCCTTGGCCCGTTGCCTGCAGTTTTGGTCCAACTTTCCAATTAATTAAGTTCAAAGGTGTGTTCTACCTCCACACCACAGCGCCGCGCCGATGGGTGCTGACAAGGGCTACAGCACCGGTCCTGCGCCCGTAGCCATGGATGTTGACAAGACTCACAAGACTGAGACAGAGCTCCTGCCAGTCACGGTGCTGAGCGGCTTTCTGGGGGCTGGCAAGACCACTTTGTTGCAACACGTGCTTCACAACCAGGAGCGGCTCATTTTTTGTCAAAGGGATCCCCCTCAGTGTCCCCAGGGTGCCTCAAACACACTCCAGGACGGCCTGCGTGTGGCTGTGATCGTCAATGACATGGCAGAGGTCAACATCGATGCCATGTTGGTGAATTCTGACCAGGTGCCAACGGCGCCATCCGTGCTATCCCAGGTGGTTCATGATTATAGCAACCTCGGGTTAACATGTACAACCTTGTAAAACCCACCGAACATGGGAATACACCCCAGACATGATGATGGCTTGGTGAAGTGTCAGTTTGTGTGGGGTCAAACTGGACCCATCTGCTTCGGGAGAACTGGGCAGATTTTTCTTCAGGTGCTGACCGTGCAAGACAAAATGGTCGAGATGCAGAACGGCTGCATTTGCTGCACTTTGCGAGACGACCTCATCGAACACGTCACCCACCTGGCGGAGGAGAAACGCTTCGATTATCTCTTGATCGAAACTGAGACGAAGTTGGCAGTTGAAAACTGAACAATCATTTCAAAAAAATATATTCTGGTTCATTTTGATTTTCATCCCCTTAAAGCTTGTGATGATTCCCGCTTGACTTTCATTGAATTTCTATGCTGTCCATTTCCCGACTTTCATTTACTATCTACTTTTGTCGTTCAAGTGGAGGTTTCCAAAGAAATGGGGGTACCTAAAACAAATCATCCAGCATGAGACCATGACTTAGTATAGGTCAGCAACCAAGGTGACGACTAAGAATCCCTCATGACTTAAGAACCCCCATATACGTATCAATTAATCCACTATTGTTGGTTGTTTTCCCATTTCTAACCAGGAAAATCCCAGTATTATCCCACAATTAACCATAATTATATAACCATAATTAATCATAAATAACCACAATTAACCATGGCGATCTTCCAAATGGTCCCATACCATCAAGGAAAGCACTGGCATCTCTGAACCGATGCCCGTGGCCGCCACCTTTGTTACGGAAGTGGAGGGCAAGGCCATGCTGGGGCAGGTGGCGAGGCTGGATACCCTGGTGACGGTGGTGGATGGCAAGAATTTCTTCGAGACCTATGGAACCACTGAGAGGCGCAGAGATGAAGATTTTTTTTTTAATCAATGGAGCTAGAAAAGCATGGCCATCTTTTTTGTAAACTGAAAACTTAAAGACTTAGGTGTTTTTTGGGGATCAAACTTCCGCGTCCAACATCATCCAAGACTATCCAAGTTTTGTTTAGGTTTGGAGTGAAGGAAACTTGAACCCATCCACTTATGATCCAAGTTGATCCACTTTCTAGATTATAAACCCTCTGGAATTGAATCCATCAACAAATCCAGATTTGGAGGTCGAAACATGTTGAAACCACTGAGGCTGGTGGACCGCCCCCAGTTGGGCGCAGAGAATGGAGACCAGCGGAACATTGCGACACTACTGGCAGACCAGGTGGAGTGCGCCAATGTCATTGTGATTAACAAGGTGGGGATGGGTCAGCGAAACAGCCATGTGGTTTTTACAGAGGGGCAGATGTCATGGATGTTCATATCATGGTTTGGAATCTTTGGAATATAGATGAATAATTACAGATCACATTAGGGTTAATTAATACATACATAGGATGGGTTATCACTACTTTTGAAACCTGTAATTTTAGCGGATATGAGAATCAGCCAGGGATGAATCTGGATTACAATCTCGGCCACAGGCTCTATACGTGTTGCTGTGAATCTCCTCCTATACCATGGTTTCTAGGGGGTGTTTAGTTTGATATTAGGGGGAAGGGATTGTAGGGGTTTATCATGGTTTATCACCATTCATGATAGTATGTAGGTGTGTATTGTGGTTCGAGGATGGTTAAACAAAACTATAGAAGTTCAAGATTCCATTGTGATTGTTGTTGATGGCAGGTTGTACTACATAAAGACAGTAGCATTTTTGGTGGTATATTACTATTATATAGATATCATTTATTTATATACATAGGCAATTAAGATCCCTCTACACTTGGGCAAAGTTAGAAACACCTCAGAACAACAGGGAGTAAACCCCGAAACTTTCCGCGTTTCAGGTGTGAAGAACATCATGATTTATTCAAAGATTCCCCAAAATCCATCATCTACAAAATCTCTACAAGCCAATCAGTTTCCACTTAATTATATAGATTTTCACAACACATATCCATCGAAAGAAGCTTTTTCCAAAGAAATTTTCACCTACCCTCCAGTGTCATCAGCTCCATGGCTTGCTGGAAAATCTCCCAATTTATCGATGATTTTACCACCTACAAAGCTCCATTTATAGTGGTTTTTCCCATATTTTCCCATAATTTTCACATTGAAAACCTCCATTTCGTTCAGGGATTTCGTCCAGGGATTTCCCATGGCCCAGGTGGATTTGCTGCAGGAGGAAGAGATTCTGCAGCTGGAAGCATTGCTGAAAAAGATGAACCCCAAGGTGGGGCTTGGTTGGGTGAATGGCCTGGGAAAGCAGGACTGGGCTAGTGGCGAAAAAGGGTATAACTATATGTATATACAGTATAACTATGGGATCTTAAGTCCAGAAGACTACATAGTATAACTATAGTGAAGATCCCATAGTTGTACATAGTTATGCTATCAGTTAATGGGATATAACTGACTATGGTTTTTTTCAGCTCCAGATGGGATATAAAAACATCCTTTTGGGTGGTGAATGGCCTACTCTTTGATGGTTTCAGCCACATGTTTTTTAACTGAAACCATCCCGAAGACTATTATAACATCTGACTTTTCAAAAGAAGGTATCCAAGACAAGTGGCTGGGGCATGTCTCATTTCAGCATCACCCAAGCTGCGGAATCGCTACCAACAGCCTAAGCTTGGTGCGCTTGGCCAGGCAGAATTGGTGCGCTCCAGTTATGGCAAGATTGACCTGAAGTTGGCGCTGAACACGCACCGTTTTGATTTCGCAGAAGTGCAGAAAATGCCCGGCTGGCTACAAGAGCTGCAGGGGGGCCATACGCCCGAAACTGAGGAACCGGGTTTCAAGATCAAAACTCGGGAAACATCCGGAACATCCACTTATTGTAAAACCATTTGGCCATACCTTGGCCCCTCCCAAACACCTCCAAAAGCCGCGAACTCGCAGGAATACAACATCTCCAGCTTGGTCTTCCGTTCTGACAAGCCCTTCCACCCGGACCGCTTGGAGCAGCTGATGTTCGAAGGCTTCGACGATTTGCTGCGGTCCAAGGGCCTGCTGTGGGTCGCTGGACGGGACCACGCAGCCCTGGTCTGGGGCCAGGCAGGTGGTGCGGTGACCCTCGAGGCAGGCGCCTGGGCACATGGATCAGTGCCCACGGAGCAGTGGCCTCCGCATTTGGAAAAGTACAAGACGAGGCCGTGGCCTGAAGGATTTTGGCTGTTTGGATTTGTCCAGATTTGTCCAGTTTACCAACATGGGATGATATGTACTATTATTTCAATTAAAGTCTTGTTCTGGTTCCCTTAGTTGATCTTTAATTTCTGATCCAGTCAACCCACCAAAAGAGGCAAACAAAAAAGTTGAGGGAGGGAAATATGTATGAAATGCATTGATTCCGGCGAGCAGCTGTTCAAGGTATGGTGACAAGCGCACAGAGTTGGTCTTCATCTCTCGAGATTTAGACAAGGAAGCGCTCCGAAAACGTCTCGAGAATGCACTGGTCACGGATGAAGAGTTCCAGCTGGGGCCAAAAGGTTGGGAGAAGTTCATCAAGGATTGAGATTTCACGAAGAATTTGTGATTTTGGATGGTGTGGGGCAAAACAATTGGATGATTTTAGATGTATAGAAATTTATATGTACAGCTAGTCTGTTGCAATGATACGACTTTCGATGCCAAGTGAGCTCAGTCGTCGAGGGGTGATGAATTGATGATTTGACCCAGCTTTAACGGTCACAGCGGTAAAACAGCAGCGAAAGAGTAGGGCAGTCGGGCTGGCAAGTCACAAGTCTGTGGTGTCCGGATTGCTCCCAGCAAACTTGCTGCCAGTACCATGCTGTAGAAACATCTAGAAACTGATGCCGGAAGTCACATGACTCACATGACTTACCTTCATACAGATTCATACCTCATAATTCATGTTGGTAAATGCAATGCCAGAAACCATCCCTTAAATGGTCGCTTTATCATGATTTTGTTGCTCACATTAGACCAGATGCAACAAGTCCAATCCCACCAGGGGAAACGTACCATGGCAGTACCGTTGGATCAGGCAGCTTTTGGGCCATTTCACATCAATCAAAAAGTGATCAACTGCAGCTTCAATCCCAACGTACACCATCCTATAGCCCTTGAAATTGCTTATCTTTATATGCCAAGTATTACAGCTATGAATTCAATCCCTTAAATCTCAAGTTAACCCCCAGAACCCCTGGTTTAGGATTGGATGTATCCCAGTTGGGGTTGGTTTACAGGTAGGTTACCTACCAGTAGGGCTTATAGCGTAGATACTGTATACTCTATAACTATTATTGATGGATTAGAAAAGAACTCAGGACCGGGGGCAAAACCTTGCAGTGTTGATCAACGTTCATGTTCCCCATTATAATCCTAATAGAGTTGTCTATTTGATATCTACATGAATATATCCTAATCCAAATGTATCCAATGTATCCTAATAACATCTAATACTGGATAGGCTTCAGTTGTCCACTTCCATCCACTTCCATCCATCCACTGCCCGGGGGGACCACGACCGAGGCCGTTCGGTGCCGCCCTTCCGGTGCCGTCCCATGACGCTGCAGCGCTTCTTCGAGCAGATGCAGCGGCCGGAGGAGACGCGGAAGGATGTGCCGCTTGGAGGTTGGTTGGTGGCGACAAATTCACATGTTTCATGTTCAACCATACTTAATTAATCCATAGTTGGATATTTACTTTGGATGATTATCCAGCATGACTAGTAGTTTGGGGCATTTCAGCATCCATTGCTGGTGAGGTATCTGCAACAGCTTCCAGTGCAGCAGCATCTGCCAGAATTGGAATCACTGGGTGTCCCTTTGGACGGACCCGAGATCTTGCAGAAAGCGCTGGGGACCTCTGCGTTGGTCACCTGCACGCTGTTCTGTGGCACGGCGGACCGGGACGGGAAATGATGAAGACTCAAACATGACCTGCGTTCGCGGGGTTGGGAGCCTCAAATTTTCACGCAACTCCGAATTAGCGGGTGGAACAGGGCAGTGTGGTACAGCAAGAAACTGGTTTTATCACCTGAACCTTGGTTGTCGCGCCCCCAATAACTGGGGCGCAAAGGAGTTTACAGAAGGTACTCCCAACTGCCCAAGTCGTGGCGAAATCCCAAAAATCTTGAAATTAGCTTGGGGGAAGGCTTTTGTGGAAGTCGTGGCGATGCGGCGTTTAGCTTGTGTTTAGGGTAGGTTGCTGTCTTACTATCTCATGTAGACCTAAAGTGGCGAAGCGGCGTTTAGGTTGTGTTTGGGGTAGGGCGTTGTTTTACTATTAGCATAGTACTTTAATCTTGCTAGTTGCGTTCTCATTGTGTTTGGGATGGTTGCTGTTGGGTTCTGCAGCTACTGGCGTCTTGCTGTTGCTGCGGCTGCTGGTTCGACGGCTGCTGCTGTTGCTGTTTCCGGGTACTTCTACACAACGCTGGGATTATCATCTCTACACTGCCATGGCGGTGTGCTGGGATTCTGCAAATTGTCATTGTTTCGCTACCAGTGATCCAAGGAAGGGCAGGTTTGCGGCTTGCGGGCCAAAGTCCATGTGTGTAGATGCGGGGCTTTTTCCGTACCTCGTTTTGGACCTCGTTTTTTTCCTTTATCAGAACCCATCCTGCAGTATACAAACTAGGAAAAGGGCCTGCTTCGCGTTTTTGTTTGTGGGCGTCAACAGTGCCCACGAAAAAAGGCCCGTTGGAAACCGGCGTTCCGATGGGATTCGATCAAAAACGAATAGAACATAATAGAACCATGATAGTTTGGTCAAGGCTTGTTAAAGCTAGCGTTTCCAATGGGGAAAGGGGTTTTGCAAGGTCTGTGCCGGGACAGGGGTCGTGGCGAGCGTTTTGATTGGGAATAGCTGTCAAACGCAAACATTGCAAGGACTTGGGCGTATGGGTGTACAGAGATGCTGGGATTTAGTCAAAAATTGGGACTGAAAGTTGACAAAGCTGATCAACACGTCACGACAACGGTACATGGACAACCAGCAACGAGTGGACGGTTGGAAGACAACTGATTGATAGATCCATCACCGTGGCACCAGCTACAGCTGGGACGCATGGCTTCTATTATCTTCTATTCTTGGTCCTGATATCCCCCACAATTTGTGAGGTTCTAGCTCTTGTGTTGGTGTTGGCCATATCCCTGTTTTGGGTGATATATGTCATGTCGGCCAAGCTCCCAAATTTTTGTCTGATTGGATTTTGCTACAGTCACATCTGACAGACGCACCCAAGACATTTTGACGGTGAACATGGCCAACTTTTGGCGACGTACCCTCCACCAAGTCAACATAGAAATATTAGGAACCCACTGGAACATCTCAAAAAATCCTTTTCCTTGGGTTTCTTCATTGGGTTTCCCATATCTATATGATTCAATATATTTTTTTTTTCCGAACATGGGGGGAATCCGCCCACCACGGGGGGGACCTCAAAATCATCTCAAATAGGTTGTTATCAAATGTTGCAAATGGGAAAACCAATGGTTTGGGGTAGCCATATATTTTAGGACGACCATTAAAGGTCAATTTCCAGGGTAAGACCTCCCCTGACCGATTCCAAGGTGGGGCCGCCGGGATCTGCACCTCCCTCCACTTTGACCGCGGCGATTGGGCGGAGGAGAAGCAGGAGGCCAAGTCTTCCATTGTCGCTGGGTTGGAAATGACATCTAACCATATCTACCAATTTTTTATCATTTTTTTGGGGTGTGGGGTGTGGGAAGGTGGGATGTTTCGAGTTTCGGAAACTGCAATTCCGAAAATCATGTTCAATGAAAAATCAGGCGCGAAAATGCTATAGTTTTTTCTTTTTGGGATATTTCAATGGGATGAAGAACCAAGCTCAGAATCTTTTGTAACGGCCCCAAGGCTCTTTATATCCAATGATATCATGACTGATTGGGTAAAGGGGATTATGATGATTTTCCATTGACTTTCGCATATTTTTGAGGGTTGAAACCACCAACAGCTCGCGACTTTGCTGGGGCTCCAAGGACAACCTCTTCCTACAGCTCTCAGGGCGCAAACGATTTCGACTATTTCGTCCGGGGGATCATGATTGTGGCCGGGCGGTGAAAACCTGGGTTCCAACATGTTCCAACATTCATGGTTTTCCAAGAAAATCCACAAAACGTGGACCTGAACTGACTGAATCCTCAGATCTTAAGTCAATTTTCTGTGTTTTCGAGCAGCTCCAATCTGCAACTTGGTCTCAGTATGGTGGTTTCTCCACCGAAACGGCGTTCTGCTAAGGTCTCTATGCGCGCGGTGCTGCTGACCCTGGGGCTCCGCATGTCTCGCAGATCGAAGACACAAGCGCTGGTGCAGATTTGATGGACCCAGGGGGGAGTGATGATGGGTCCATGGGAAAATCTTCCAGCGAAACATTCGGAAAACAGATTCTCTTCCTGGCTATATTGGCCCTCTACAGCATTCACATTCATTTCATTCGTTTCCTCAATTGCGACTATAATAGATAGAGGCATAGAATCATAATAGATTATCTGAAAATCTCACAATCTTCAGGATTTCCATATACCTATCTATCTACGAAAAGATATCAGTACTACTGTTATTTATTTATTTATTTTGTTACTATTTTGAATTTATCATATGATTTTCCATATTTCATCCCTTGAATCCCTCCCATCTACCCCAGGAGCGCTTCCCCCGCTTCGCTACCGCCGCGGCACGCAGCTTGGACGTGGAGCTGGGCCCGGGCGACGCGCTGCTGGTGCCGCGCTGGTGGTGGCACGAGACGTACGCGCTGAGCGATGGCCATGCGGTGAACTGGTGGTGCGCCAGATGGGATGGGGGTTGGATGGGCTTCATTGATTATTATATATATATATAGTTAATTGTAAGTATACATACTTAATATAATAGTTAATATAATACTATATATAGTTTATATACTTAATTGTAAGTATACATAGTTAATATAAGAGTGAATATAGTTAATATATATATAGTTATGAATGTTAATATATAGTTCATTGATGATATAGTTAATGCAATATATCATATTCAGGTCCTCAGGAGAATGATAATGGGATATAGTGGGATATAATGGGATAGTAATGACATAAAAATTGGATCATATGATGAGATAATAATGATGTGCGGGATGAGGATGGGGTTGGATGGGTGGAAAGCCATACTACTGCGGATTTACTGCGGATTTAATCATCTAAACTGGGGATATAGTGAGGATATCCAAAAACAACAATAATTGGTTGGCGGTATTACAGTACATAATGCTTTGTTTTCACCCGTAGAAATGAGATGATGCTTGCAGCTGAGTGTCCTTTTTTTTTTCAGGGGTTGAAACCACCAGCTAGATGATGATAGATTGGATGTATGGTGGGAAAAGTTATGGGGGATACTTTGATCATCACACTTGCAGTACGTGGTAGGTATGATCTGAATATGTTGTAATTGAGCTGAGACTGTGGATGGAAGAAATCCTGCACTACCTTAGATGGTTGAAACCCTATAAATAATGGGATGTTTACCACCTTTCAACTGGTGATTCGGATTTCGCTGGCCCATCCACGGGAATGGTGAAGATCCCACTTGGGTTACTTGGGATCATCAAACAATTAGTAGGTTTGGTGATGTTTGGCCCGCTCAAGGGGGCAACCAAACGAATTGGGCACTGAAGCAGTGTGATTTACCAATTCAAACCCTATCGGCCCTATCGAAACTCAACGTCACTTGAGGTCATGGTTCATTGAATTTGATCTAATGGCAATGTAATGGGAGAATTACAACATAATCATCCATCCCAATGTTTCTCTGAAATTTCTAGTAGCCAGTAGGTTTTCCACAGAAATCAGCCCATCCCAACTGCAGCCGCAGGTTTGAACCACGACCGGTGCAGTGAAGTCCACGTGCAGGGGCTTCGTAGAAGACTTCGATTTACCTCCGGTAAATCCAACGTGGCCATGGATATCAATGGACATTCACCAGTTTCTAAGAGTTTTTTTATATGAACATCATCTGAGAATTTGGACAGTTCATGGATTTTTCTATTGCTATTACCCTCTGGTAAACTAACATAACTATGGAAAATCACCATTTTTAATGGGAAAATCCACTATAACTGGCCATTTTCAATAGCTATGTTAAATTACCAGAGGGTAGCGATATGCTGCTGAAAATTGACCAGAGGCTTCATCTCAAAAAGAAACGGTTCAAAGAAAGTGCTGTTGGACGTCCGTGCTGGTCTCGGCTCGGGATGGATTCGGCCAAAGTGGCTGTGGTCAGTTGGCATCTGACAATCACACGGAACTTTGAGGATTTTTGTTACAGAAATTGTGGTGAAATTAAGGTTGGACCATGGGGCCATGGGGGGGACTTGTTAAACAATTGTGGAATGATGAGTGTTAGGGAAAATTCACCTAGGCCAGGGGAGATTGGGTGATTCATTCTAGTCTCAATGGGGCAGATCCTTTCGGCAATCCCAAATGATGTGGGAAACTATTGGCTGCCACAAACCTACCATGACTAAGGATGGTTAAAATCGCAGCCATAAATTATTTATTGATGATTTTGGTGATGGTTTCTCATTGTGTGTGCCACGTTACTGAAATGCTTCAGTTGTGCGTGGGGTTCCCACTTGGCACCAAGAAACCGTTCCAGAAGTGGTCTAGTGACCAAGTGGTGTCTAAATACATGGTTAGTGGTTTCATTTTTTCTTTATGTTCCATCTTATCTGGTATGATGATCCGAATTGAACAAGTCGTCTTCTGATTTGTTAAAAACGGTTAAAAGATGATTATATAGTGCCTAGATATGTCTAAGTTGCATTAAACTATATTGTACATGTAACTGTTGTTGGCGGTGTACAAAAGGCGCGAGTCGAGGAGCCGAGAAGCTTAATTTTGTTTTGAGATTCTAGTGTAATTAGTAATTGGTTATTTCTAATGTGATAAACCCAAGAATAGACCTCCAAGTGGGGATGTATGGTTATATAAGTTATATGTTATTATTGTGTTCCTCACATTATCTCGTTGTTTTCTAGGGTGCCGATATGGGTCCGACGGATGCAACGGGAGTTGATGCAACTGACCATCTGTGGGACAGGCCAGTGAGGTCGATGGACAAAGCTGCCATCTGCCCTGCAATCTGTGAGGGAAAAAAAGGGTTCCAGGTACCCTCTGGTAAACCAACAGTTTGCTATGGAAAATCACCATTTTTAATGGGAAAATCCACTATGAATGGCCATTTTTTTACCTGTACCCGTACAGGTATGATGTCGATCCATCTTGAGGGATTTTGGTTTTATCTAACGATAGACCAAATGGAGAACTATCAGTGGTCCAGTACCAGTCTGTGACCCAATCATCCCAATCTTGGTATGATACTGTCCCAGTCAGCCAGGTGGCCTCAAAATCCAACTTGGAGGTGACCCTACCCAGAAGTGACCTCTCTTTATCTCCTGCTGTCAGAAACTTGTGTATGTGTAAGATATGATAAGAATGTTGCGAATAAATAATAAGACATAAAAGCACTAAAGACGTAATAGTTCTAAATCACTAAAGTCACTAAAGACATAATAGTTCTAAATAAAACCAACTATACACATATACATACACTATGGATCCTTCTGCCAGTGGTAAACTTCACTCTCGGGACGAACGTTACGAGGTGGCACAAGTGGCCTACGAGAGGAAGAAGGAGGAGCAGCGTGCCAAAAACGAGGCGCGCGGAGTGGGATAATCCATGGGGCCATGGGGAATATGGTGAATTTAGGAAAACGGGTGATCCATGTAATATCACTATAATGATATGTCAATACTTGATAATGTCAATATTTTATAATATGTTATGGTGATCATAATATTATATGGATATTTGACATTATCAATATATGATATTTAGGAAAATGGGTGATCCATATATTTGATAATGTCAATATTTTGAAAATTTGATATGGGGAATATTGGTGATCTGGGAATATGGCGCCATCATATTTTGGATGATCTAATGGGGATTTACCAGCACTTTACGACAATTTATGGGGAACATGGGCCTATAAAAAAACATCGATTTTCAGAGAAACTGACGTGGCTGGTCAGGTCATGGATGGTGTTTCATCAAGTCATGGCTGGAAATTCCCCGAGCCAAACGGAGGTAGCTGGGAAAATCATCGAACTAAATGGGGGATCTTCAAGTGTCACGTTTTTGATTACCGGATGGTACTTTTAAAGATTTTAAAAGTTGGTGATATGACTGATATGATTCATCCAGTCATCATGGTGATTTTTTTTGGTTTTGACCCATCCCAATTCAGTGGTGAACGGAGGGAGCGGTGTTGATGAATAGCATTGCCTTGATTTGATGATAACCACTCGACTTATGGAAAGCCAGAATGTACGAACCTACTGCTAGACTAAACAGGGGTTCATTATTGGGAAGGATAGGGATCAAGGATATCAACATTAGAGGGGTTAACCCTATATCTTTAAGAACAAATCTAGTCAAGCTAGGCCTTAATCCAAGGTTTCTATGTTGATTAGTGGATGAATCCCATCGCAACGTACCTGCCTGGATGGATCCCAAAGGAACCAATCCATTGCTATGGGGAGGTTGGTAGATCTGTTAACCTCCAAATTTGTCACAAACAAATCTCTGAAAGTATGTGATTCATGCCATCAAAAGTAGCCCGAATCATCTTTCTCTTTGACATCATCGGATTTTCGCATTTTGTGCTGCTTTAATAGCATTTTTACATACGTCCAACACGGATTTTGACATCAATCATCCTTTCGTGTACGTTCCGACGTTTCGCCTGCTGGGTTTGTGATGTTATTTGGAAAATTTGGAGCTCTAGGAGTCAGAAGCGAAGACCATCGGAGCAGAGGCGGACCAGGCTGAAAATGAACTTCACCAGGTGAATCAGGAGCAGATTCGAGCAGTTTTCCAGAGGGAACCTGGCGACCTGGTCACTTTCAGGGTAGTTTAATATGATGAGTCATCTATGTTGCCATTTTTATGGGGTTATATAGTGATATAATTTTACCATAATTTACCATATCTTATCATATCTTACCTAACTAGCTGAAAATGCTAAGAATTATTTTGGGAGTATCCAAGATTGGGAACGGAGGACGAAAAAAACATCTGCCGGATCGATTTTTTCAGCGGGCAGGAGATTACCAAACTGAATGTGGAGATCTTTCAGGAGCAACAGAAGGTGCCATGACGGCCTGTTGGGTCCAGAAGGTGCCCAAAATGGATTGATTTGGATGGATCTATGGGGATGTATGGGGCCTATCCATAGTTTCTTTGGGATCACTCCCCAAAGACTTGGGAATATCTTCAGAGAACCTTGCAATGAGAGGCCCGCGTTCTAGATGTTGCTAACTTATGGCAATTTAGCTACATGTTTATCATGTTTGACCATGTGTCCATTAAACACAACATAAAGTATACTGTGGGAGGTGGTTTTTTTTTCTTTTGTGCGTGCGTGCGTGTTTCAACGTTTTTCAACTCGCCATGTTTTAGAAACGTTCCCGCGGAAAAAAAACCGTGCTTGGGGCATCTTGGGGCCAGGCTCAGGCTGCAGAGAAGACGATGAGGGAGGAGCAGCAGAAGTACCAAGAGGAGCAACACATGACGCCGTCGGCCGTCGGGACGCTGGGTTCATCAGCTGGGAGTCTTTCCGATAACTTGATTCAACTACAAGAGTTAGGTGGGCATAACAACCTAAACCATCTAAACCAAGCATTTTATGGATCACATATACCAATATGTATATGATTATATATATATATATACTGAGGATATATGGGGTCATAGTAGGATACATTCAAGTCAACAAATACCACAAAACAAAAAATCGAATAGGCAACATGATGATCAACCACCAACTTGGCAACCATGATGGACAATTTGTTGGGGACATAATGAGGACATGTTTTATGGAGCGCGTGAGAAACCAACCATTTTACGGGATTTTATGGGATATAATCGGATATAACCACCCAAGAATTTGAGATGGCCTTGTCCTTAGAATATTTTAAGACTAGTTGGATGGGCCCCCCAATTTATGACCATTGAATAGGTGGAACGTCATTTTCACACCCATGAGATTCTTGGGTAATGTCAACATCGGACTAATCACCCCCCCCACAAGGTCAGATAGACCTTGCTAGTTTCCCCCCCAAATAAACGGCCTCTGAGCATTAAATTTTGGATATGATGAGATTTGATTTTTAAAATCTCATGGAACCCATAAGATTCCATTGGATTTGATGAGATTTGAACCCTGATTAGTAAACCCCATGGGTTCCATTGGATTTTATATAAGAGTTCATTGGGTTAGATTGGATGAATCTTATTGGGCCTCATTAGGTTTTTCATTGGGTTTGATTATCCACAGCCATTTTAAGGCTCATTCTCAGCCTCGTGATGAGAAACAAAAAGAATCGGAAATACATAATTTTGGATAAACAAAATGGGATTTCAGCACTGGTGGTTGATGAATCATGTCCAAGCCAAACAGTTTTAACAGTTTTTTTGGGCAGGAGGTTGTTTAATCCGGCGGGGTTTATTAATCCTAACTTGACATTACCCTAGTCATTTAAGACAAATCCATGTTTTTTCTGATTTGACTGAGATTTGAAGCAGAAAGTGGACATGCAAGAACCCTAGACTTTCACTTGAGCGCTTGAGCACGTGCATATTTCACCGCTACTTTTCAATACTAAATGGTGAGTAATCATCGATTTGTATCTAATATGTATATTTCATAAACCTTCATATTTTCTCATGTCCTTTCACATATTTTGTAACCCCTGTGTCCATCCATGTTTCTGAAGAACGGCGTTCTTGGCGTCCCGGGGGGCCAGGAGCTGAAAACTAAGCAGCTCAGGGAGGAGCAGGTGCAGAAGATGATGGCCTTGTTGACCACGAAGGACGAGGCGATGACCTCCCTGGAAGGTCGCTTCAGTAAGCTTCAGCGGAAGGCCCGTCCGGCGCGCGCGAAGGATGCGAAGGGGGTAGTGGGGTGTTGGATGGTGCTGGGGGGGCATCCTGGTCAGATGTAGCAAATAACATCATGATGGTGATGAAGATGATGATGATGACGATGATGATGCTGATGCTGATGCCGATGCTGATGATGCTGATGTTGATGATGCTGATGATGCTGATGATGTTGATGTTGATGAAACTAGTTATATGAACAACAACTTATGCGGTGCGAGTATCAACCTCATAGATGAGGTACGAATAGTAGATGTAAGTATTGTTGGTATATACCATCGCCCACTAAAGGTTAAGTACAAGAAATAGTACAGTGATATGCCAGTAGTATATCAGTGGCACTACATCCAGGATATATCCGTTGTACGTGTAACGGATGCTTAATTCATTATCATGATGATATACTGAATGGATTGTAGCCATACATGTAGATTTTCTAGCCTTTTTGTGAGATGGGCTTCACATTTGTCCTACTATTTGTTCCCACATATCATCTCTATCACTAAAACACCCGTGAGAGCGGGAGAGTTTGATATCATATCCAAAAAAACAAAATTATCCCGTATCATTCCAATCCTCAACTTAATCCTTTCTCCCTATTCTTAAACCTCCCCAAATATTGATTCAGTGGACTTGTTTTTTCATTAGGGGTGCCTGGTATTTGGGGTCCCCTAAAGGATAAATCAAAACACCCTAATACAAAAAAGAACTTGTTGCTTTCAAAAACTCATTCATTTCTGGTTCAACATATATGCAATTAGTGTCAAGAAAATGGTTTTGGATGGTTTTCGTAATAATAAAGCAAGTACATATAAATACGACATGTGAATACGCTAATACAAAAAAATGACAGGGGGTTTCTTGGGATGCTAGCAAAAACCACCTATTGCCATTTGCTTTTATTATTTGGGTCCGAAACTAGCCCCACAACTTCACGGAACTTATTGATAAAAGGGCCTGATTATGCCTGATTACACATTTCCAAATTCCAGAACTTGGGGAATCAAAACTTTTTTTTCCTAGTTGGGGAGGTTTAGTAGTAGGAGGAAGGGTACTATCTTCTGTAAACAGATTTCATGTCTCTACCTTCCTAGCGGTTTTCTGTTTCAGGCAAAAGCGGCCCAACAGCTCTTGGATAAAGAAGAAAAGAAAGCAGAACTGCAGGAGATTGGTGGGGGGCCTTCCCAGGGTTCTCCAGGATGATTGTGAGCAAGTACACAGCAATCATACATTATATATACATATATAGGCAAGATTAGATAAATAGAGGTAGATAGGTATATAGATAGGTAGATAGGTAGATAAGTACACAGGTAGATAGGCAGATAGGTAGATAAGTAGACCATTGGATAGGTAGAAAGGTAGAAAGGTAGATAGGCAGATAGGTAGGTAGGTAGATAGGTAGATAGGTAGGTAGATAGGTAGGTGGATAGATAGATAAGTAGATAGGTAGATAGGTAAAAATGTAGATAGGTAGATAGGTATTTAGATAGGTAGGTGGGTAGATAGATAAGTAGATAGGTAGGTAGATGGGCAGAAAGGTAGAAAGGTAGATAGGTAGATAGGCAGATAGGTAGATAGGTAGGTAGATAGGTAGGTGGATAGATAGATAAGTAGATAGGTAGATAGGTAGATAGGCAGAAATGTAGACAGGTAGATAGGCAGATAGGTAGGTGGATAGATAGGTAAGTAGATAGGTAGATAGGTAGATAGGCAGATAGGTAGATAGGTAGGTAGATAGGTAGGTGGATAGATAGATAAGTAGATAGGTAGATGGGCAGAAAGGTAGATAGGCAGATGCGTAGATAGGTAGATAGGTAGACAGGTAGAAAGGCAGAAAGGTAGAGCGGCAGATAGGTAGATAGGTAGATAGGTAGATAGGTAGGTAGGTAGATAGGTAGGTAGATAGGTAGATGGATAGATGGATAAGTAGAGGTAGATAGGCAGATAGGTAGATCGGCAGATAGGTACATAGGTAGATCGGTAGGTATGTAGATGGATAGATAGATGTAATTTAGTAATTAGCCCAAATAAGGGGACATGGCCGAAATTATAGCCATTCCTAAAAAATCTAAGGGGCACAATTTGCGTGGAACTCCAGGAGCAAGCAGCCCAGAAGCAACTGGAAAACGAACGAAAGCAAGCAGAAAAGATCGTGCGGCATCCGAGGAAGTCAAATCATTTTTAAAAAGATGTCTGGTTGGTGGTTTGGAATGGCTTTTATTTTTCCATATATTGGGAAGAATAATCCCAACTGACTTTCATAATTTTTCAGAGGGGTAGGTATACCACCAACCAGATGTGGTTAAACTAAACAGGTTAAAACTGATGATGGGTGCCCCCAAGGAATCGACAATTATGGTGGCTTTCCCACCACAGGGGTCAGGATTTGTATATCTCCAGGTAGCAACATGGGGTGATCAGAGAATGGCCCGGAGGTTAAAATTGAGGCTCTGGTTATCTATCAATATAGTTCTTAGGCGAACGTGTTCGGTAAATTTCAATAACCATTTTATGCAACCCATTTTGCCATTGACAGATACATAGCCATGAAAAGTCTGAATGTTAAGAGGTATGTAAATTATCGAACTGAATAACTGAATGGGAATTGTTCATAGAAAAATTGGTGTCAATGACTCCAGTTTTGTATTGGTGCGTCTCCAGCCACCATTCTGTTCCTCCAAGCGCCTTTCTCTTTCTATAACTGCCCAATGAGATTCTTCTCGGGTCCCCAGCATGTGGCATGTAAGATATCTGTCACATGGGAATGGCTCACCATTCATCAACCCCCCTCGTTTGTAAGCCATATATAACTTGAGATATTCATAGATGTCCCATAGTATTCCACATACAACTAGGGTATGACATGGTTGTTACCCTTGCCAAATGGGATACATCTCCGAAGTGCATCAAATGAAGGGCGAAAGACTGAACATGATTCAGTCCGTCCATTGGTACCCTCTGGTAATTTAACATAGCTATTGAAAATGGCCATTTATAGTGGATTTTCCCATGAAAAAATGTGATTTTCCATAGTTATGTTAGTTTACCAGAGGGTACCCCACTTTGGGTTGCCATAAGGAGAAGGAGGAAACCTTGAAACTGCAAAAGGTGAAGCAGCAACTCGAGGAAGAGGTGGGTAACTGGTAGCGGCGAAAGTGGTGATGGTTAAGTAGTGGCGATTATTGATGATAGTGGTGATTATATGCGATTACCAACAAGTATCAGTAAATTAGTCATTAATGATTGTGAATGACAATATAGTTATGAATCTTATTAATGAGTACTATATCAAAGGAAGTTTGAAGGTCAAATTTCCGTGTTACGGATGGCAATGGATGTGCAATGGTTGTCATAGAGCAATGGATGTCACAAAGCAATGGATGTCTCGTCACTTTGCCCTGCTGTGATTCCAGGCAGAAAAGGCCCGAAAAGCCTTTGATGATCAGGCACCGGATCCTGTCGCTGTTATTTCGCACTGCGGAGCAGGGTTCACCAAACATGCCGATGCAGAATTTCCATCCAAGGTGCAGTTGATGCGGAAGAGGAATGATAAGGAGGCCAAGGAATCTGGGTAAAGCCTGGTAAATCCTCTAGTGGGTTGAAGTGGGAAACCCAAGAATTGATCATGCCAATTTTCCCAGTGGTTTTCTTCTTTCTTGGGATCACTACACTGTTACATTACTGTACTGTTTTAGGACACAAAAACGGAGGTTTCAGGAAGATAGACCTTGTAGACCTTTGAGCAGGCTATCTGAGACAAGCCATGTAGATGGGGATATGGGCATTGCATACCAGAAAGTAGATTTGGTGTAATGTGGGTAAAACAATAATAAACCATCCTCCAAATCACCATAAATAGGTGGTATATGGTGGTATAAACCATTCCCAAATGGGTGGTTTGCTATTGTTTTACCGACATTATATACCATAATTTGCGGGCCCAATACTCGCCGTTTAGTTAAATAAAATATCAAACCTGACATCCATGGGGTGAATGGGTCGGGACCCACAGATGGATGGTTCATTTGGAAAGTTGACCATGTATTCAGCTTTGAGGTAAACAATTTTCACCGAAGCCAATGGCAGCATGAACAGTAGGTGTTGATCACCGAGAATGGGTGGCTCGCCCATCAGCAGGTAGTTTGCTGGCTTCATGGCGATCAGCCACCAACCATCTTGTTACATCTGTATTTACTAATCGAGAAACAAACCGCCGCTGACCAGGTCCAAGAAGAGAAGCATAAGATTGAGCAGAAGGTCTACCGAGACCATTTGGTTTTGTCCAATAGCACGGGGTATACCCAGGAAATTGCAATTGAATGCGGAAAATATGATGAAACACTAGATTTTGGGGTAATTATTATAAACCTCCAAGGAGTGTATGAATACGGTGCAGAAATTAGGGTGTGTCTGAGAATGGGGCATATCCTAATGTCATTGCATAGTTTCATGCGTAACCTGACCATGCACGATTTGATGGGTAGAATTGTAGAATTCCTGTAAAACATATGACTCAGTCTATTGTTTTTCTGGCTAAGTATTGACTTGATAGGTAAAATCTCAATGTTTGATGGCCAAGTATTACAGTCGTCTGCTTGGTGGTTTCAAGTTTCAAATATATATATATATATATAAACATTTCTCAGATGGGCTGCACAAGACATTTAAGCAAGAATACTCGTAAAACCCGATGTAGTAATGAATCACTTAACATGTTGATCCACCGTGTGTATTTTTTCGTTTCAGATGATGATCCACCAATCCGTCATCATATTGTATCATCATATATGTGGATAATCATCAATTGATCCAACAATTTTGACATCTCAGGGGATATCAATCAATATCAATCCATATAATCCGTATCAGTTGATCCTTCGTTGATCCACCAATCGGGGGGAAAAAACTCACAGTCCCCCAGTCAGCCCGGCAGGTCACGCTCGAGCAGCATCAAATCATGGAGAAGGCTTCAGCTGATTTTACCAGCGGTTTGATGGGATTTCATGGGATTTACTGTTCGGTAAGTCAGTTGGTTTACAACTAGTAACTAGTAACTACAGTAGTATAACACTTGGGTTTATAGTAAATCTATGGAACTAGTTAATGGTGTTCGTAGACCAGCACAAAGAAAATCAGGCACCACATTACAGTATATGCATTTTCTGTATGAAGGAACCTTTTTGGGATTTAAGGAATTAATTTATGGGAAACTAGAGGCATATCATCCAGAAAATGATGATTGCGACTGGGGGTATCATGGAGATGTTCACCAACAGTGGGGATATCTAATCTTACCAACCACGCGAACACTGTCTCGAGTTCTAAAGCACGGCTGATTGCAGTGCTGTTAGATCGTACATGTAAAGCCTAAATGCCAAGTGGTCTATACAAATCATTCATGGTGCGGACAGCACGATGAGATGTCCACTGGCTCAAAGCCTCATCCAATTGCCGCAAGGCATGACATGACACATGCAGTGCCACCCCGGGGAGAGGCGGATGTACATGAAAACGACTCAAGTCCAGATGGGAAACAAAACTCATCCCACAACAAAACACAGAATCCACTAACCTCAAACACGACTTCACAAATCTGATGCGTGCTCCCACCGTCAGCTGCCCATGTTGGGCAGCAGGCACCATGGATGTGATCTGCCAAACTGTACGGCCATTCTGCGACACTTCAATTGGATGAGAAAACTGTAAAACATGCAGCAAAAAAAATAGCTCTAACCATGAAAGAAAAACAGCACCATCCGCTCTCTCACGTTCCATCTGCAGTGTGTGAAGTAGCGTTTGCACAGCCTCTGGAGAAAAGGACCTAGCTTTCGGCTCAGCTAACCAGGTCTGGGTCCATCCAAGGGGCAGCGCATCAAGCCAGTCATCCACCTGTTGCCAAGATCTCTGTTGTGGTATGCTGTCGGTCTCATCTTGGAAATCTTCCACATCAAAATCACCACCGGCACGCTGTCTTGCAATGGCCAAGTGCAATTCACGCAACTTGTCCACAGCAGCTTCTGATGCCAAAAAATGATCTTGAAAAGTGTTGCAAACAAGTTGACATGCTAGTGGCCTTGCGTGATGAGCATGTCTCGCGGCCAAATCCGCAACGCCATTCCAGTACGCTGTCCACTCGTCCAGAGGGGACGCAGCAGCTTCAACATCTTGGTGTCCAGGGACATGTTGAACCCTGAACGCATTGGTTGGAAGAGCTTGTAGCAACTCTGCACATCGATCCCAAAGGTCTTCATTGGTATCCGGTTCAAAAGCATCGGAATCTGAAATCAGACAATGCAGGCCACGGGCCACATATGCACTATCCGTCCAAAGAACACTGCGGAACCCACCTTCCCAGGACCATTGTAAAGCCATCACTGCAGCAAAGAGCTCCGCCCGATTAATTTCCTGATGAAGACCACCCAATGGTCCAGCAGCAAGGGTCCTGGAATGAGTTGCAGAAACCAATGCCCAAGCCGCCAGTGCAAGAGCAGAACATGACGGGTTGAGACAGCTGCCATCTGTGAATAAATCCACCCAATCAGAAGAGGCCTCCACATCTTCAAAGACAACCGGCTGGTCATCTAATGCACAAAGAGCACGCTTCTTTGCAACCGCGTAGGGATTCCTCGCATGCAACAAATGTTCTCGAAGTGCACGTGGAAGATTGTGCCAATGCTGACATGCCCAGGAGTGTTCCCGTCTGGCCGATGCAAAGGCCGGACAAACTAAACAACGATGCTCCACTGTGTCTGGTTGAGAGCAGAACCGACAAGCTTCTCCTTTGACCTTGTCAAATCTGCCCTGGGAGTCGCCAGAAAGAAAAACACCCTCGCGTACCGCATTCAGACATGCGACGTCCAAAGCAGTCAGTCGTTTTTCATGACGGCTTGGTGGCCAATGAAGGCCGTGAAGGCCCTCATAATCCTTCCTGTGCTGAACTTCGCGCGCCAGTCGTTGGTGCCATGCATCAGCCAGCAAGGTGTCAAGGGTAGTGGAACTAACCGTGAGCAAATTCCAAGCACAACCGTCATGGTCAAGACAGCATGGGGGAGCTGCCACAGTCCAACCAAGCTGGTCAAAGATTTCAAGCAGTTTGCTGAACGGACCAGACAACCAACGTCCGTCAAAGTTGCGCATGAAGGTAACCCAGTGACCAAGGAGAGAGGGAGACTTGCGAAGAAAACGACGAAAGTCAGTCAAGACCCGCACCACCTGAAAGTAGCCAGGATCAGAAGTCATATCACCGGACAACAAACCTAAACGGATAGCCGAATTGGCACCAGCAAGTCCAAAGCCCAGTGCACGTGCAGCACGAGTCCGCAAGGAAACGATATGCCGAAATGGCATGAGAGTAATGCCAATGGCATGGAAAGCCTTGGCCCAGAAAGCTTGCCGCAGGATGTACAACTTGACTGACAGCGGAGCAACAGAACGACGCAATCGAGGCCAAAAGACATCGAGGGATTCCAACCGGGCACGTTGCGAACCCAAACCAGTTCTGCGACAGTAAGTCATAGCACCCCCAAGGTCAGGAGCTTCCAAAACCACAGTTTTGCCAAGTCGGCGAAGTGCCGAACGAGATGCAGCTTGAGTGGACCAAAAGAATGTTTTAGGGCCATCCAATTCCAAGGCCCAAAGCTCAGCATAAGTCTCCAAAGAAGCAAAACCGGTCATCAGGGAACCCAAATCAACAGCCAGGAGTTCAAGATTGTCAGCGTAAGAAATAGGTATGGAAGATGCAGCATAGTGAGCTTGGTACACTTCCCACACCCAATCGATAACGACCATCCCTACCACTGAGAGTCCACAACCTTCGGGCAGTCCATGGTTGCTACTGATTGCTTCGCCAAGACATCCATGGAGGGAGAAACGTCTTTCCAAGCCATCAAGGAATCTTCGCCAAGCCGACAGAAACGGACCAGGGAAACCAAGAAGACGCATCACTTCAAAAAGAGGGGCACGTGGAATGGATTCAAAGGCTTTTCTAACATCGCTAACGGCACCCAGAAGAAGACGGTTTGATTGAAGAGCCAGTTCAATCCAAGTTTGAACAGTGTGCCAAATTTCACCTGCCTCCCGTCCCGGAAGAAAACCTACCACTCCGGCACCAACTCGATCACGCAACTGCTGCAAAAGAGACCGTGACCTGAGCGTTGACCAACTCCGGTAAAGCATGGACAGGATGACAATGGGGCGAAAGTCCCGCACCGTCGCCGCATGGGATTTCTTGGGCAACGGGTAACAGAAGCCAAGTTGCAGTTGCTTTGGCCAGGCAGTGCCATCCAGCTCTATGGAGTTGAGCAGTGACACCAGTCCCTGCTGAAAGGACTGGGGCATATGAAGCAGATCCAGGTGGTCAAAACCATCAGGGCCGCGAGCTGCATGTCGAGCATACCTCTTGTTGATATGTTCCCAAGCCGAAGCAGTGATTGGCGGCAAGTCAAACGAAGTGGGAGCCATATGGCTTCGAACAAAACCAATCAAACGATCCCATCTGTGCGGCTCCCAGTCTTGGAGCTTATTCCACCGTGGAGCCCAAAAAGTTTGCAACTGAACTAACATCTCATCAACGGAAGTGAACTGGCGGTTTTGCGTGAGCTCCATGCCTGGCAGCAAGTCGACTTCAGCCTCAACCTCAAAAAGGCATTCATCAACCTTAGTCACTTGCGCCGGAACATCATCGACAGTCCAGAGAGCTTGAGCACAAGTTGGCAAGTCGCTGTCAGCATGAACCTGAAGAGACTGTTCATCAACGGCCAAAATTTGGACAGAAGTGGATTCCTCAAAACGGTCAGGACAAGGTTTGGCATCACCTGTGACTGATCGGAAGGCTTTCTTCATGTCCTCCCGGAGAACAGCTTCAAGAGTGCTACGCCGGTGATTCAAGTGCCACTTCTCCAACATCCGGTAGTTAAGCTTAAACTCTTCGTACAGGAGCTCAGCAACAACCAGGGACGGCAACAGGACAGGAAAAGACACCGGAACCCCAGGACTACGATGTGGGCGAGATTCCCACCAACACAAAAAGGAACCAGCAAAGCCTTTAGCTCGCTTGATTGAAGTCCACAAGCTGAGCCTGTATTCCACGGCGCAAGGTGTCTGGCTGGCCCGGCGCATATTGTGCAGGAGGGATTGCAAACGCCTAAGCTGACAAAACCAACGCTGCAACGAACGGCCCACAAGGTCAGAGCAAGGTGCTTCTTCTCCCGCACGAGAAGGCTTCAATGTTGGCATTTGGTCTGTCCTCCGCTGGGATTGCAAAGTGCTGGCACGTCCACGACAAGCTGAGGGAAGTCCAAAGGAAGAGTCAGGCTTGAAGTGTTTATTTAAACTGGCCTCATACTTATGACCCAGTGTTTTCAAGTATTCAGTTGGATCCTGGGTGGCAACGAAAGCAGGAAAACTATGCAATTCTGCACGCCAAGCCGCAGTGTCAACAGAACCCCAAGGAACTTTACCAGGCATTGGCCACCAAGAATGTACGGCTCCATCTATAGGCAAATCAAAACTTGCAGACAAAAGGGAATGGTCCGCAAACAAGTCATGCACCGAACATGAACGGAACCGGGCTGCAAGCTCAGGAGAGACCCAAAGACGATCAGGACGCGTACGTCCTTTACATGTTGGAACAGGCAATCGACCATCACAACGAAACTGGAGTGACTGCACCTCATGCCATCCAGCTCGAACCCATTCTTCCCATTCAGGAAAGTGATGGTCATCTCCATTGAAGTCTCCACAAATAAACCGGTATCCGCAGGAACCGTGGATGATCTCTACAGTGAGCCGTTGCAGCAATTCACGAGTAGCTTGATGAGCACGTGGCCAAGTGGGTCCCGGACTCCAGCCATAAACAACCGTACCTTGGATCAAACCTGCAGCATGTCTAAAGCTCGCCACCTGAACGCGACCCAAACGGAATTCCTCTTGGGGCCACGACAGTTGGATACGATGGCAAGGCAAATCAGACATTTGGAAAACACCCGACCAAGTACCGGACGTCAGACTCCTGGCCCGCAAAGGAACCGCGGCCCCAGGAAGTAAACGAAGACGTCGGTTATCTTTGTAGGCCCAAGATCGCAAAAGTCCACATGACTTGGCAAGCCCCGGAGAAGCAAGTTGCGTTTCAGCCAAGCAGGTAATTCCCGCAGGGAGAGCGTAGACCACATGCTCTTTAGAGTTCAAACCTGAAGGATTACCAAAGTGAATATGAAGATCTGGGCCAGGATTAAGAGCCTCCCCAAACGGAAAGGCTTTGTGCTCACGTCGCAGCTGACAAACAGTAACAGCTGTCATCTTCCCACCTCGCACACACTTCGAAGTCCAAGTGAGTCCAACACCAGCGAACGGCGAATCCAAAAACTGAACATAGGACCCAGAACGCTCAGAAACACAATCAATAACAACACTGTACACATCACTATTGAAAGCGTAGGAGACATGTTGGAAAGAGCCATGAACAAAAACATCCGAGCAACCAAAATGGCTCAAGGAAGAGGCCTCAACAACACCCAGTTGAAGCGCAGCAGCTGAGTGGAACAAGGATGCTAAACAGACCAGAAAAATCCACAAAACTGAAACCGGCCTTTGCAACCAAGCAAAGCCGGTCTGCCCTTGGCACGCTTCTCAAGGAGAGCTTCAAGGCGAGTGAAGCCCTTTGTGACATCACTCTGGACTGTGTTGAGTCCTTCCTGGAGTCCACCCACCTGCATGGTCAGATCTTTGCGCACCTGCTCGATTCCATGACCTTGAACTTCAACTTGCTGTGTCACAAGCTGCAGCTGGGTTTGCAGCTGGGCTTCGGTCTGGTGCATCTGTGAAAACCAGTTCTCAAATTTGCTCGTCTGCGACTGTAGCTCCTGCATGCCTGTCTCCAAACGTGCAAATCGATTTTCCGCAGTGGTCCTAAAATCACCAAGGTCAGCAAAGTCCATGGGCGTGTCTGTTTCCACGTGTGCAGTGGATTCAGCAACCTCTTTGCGCACCGTTTCAACCACCTGCTTGTGAAGGCGATCTTCGAGCTGCTGCATTTTGTCTGCAGCACGTGGGGCAGAACTTGATGAGCCGGAATACCCTCCCCAGGGATCCATTCCTTGAGTCCATGGATCTGTCCCACCCGATGCATTCTGAAGAAAACGTTTGGTGGTTGAGGAAGCCAACACAGTATTGGAGGGATCTGGGGCATTCATCTTTTTGAGCAACGTGATGGCGACATCACCATTCGGCCCAGGCAAAATCGAAGAGGGGGGGGGCTGGGATGCGCCAACTTCCCAAGCTGTGCCCTCAGCTCCACCTCCAATGGCTTGTCGAACACGCGCCATCCAACCCCACTCAGACAAACATTTCTGCAAAGCAACACGTTGTGTCCCAAAAGGCAAAGGATACAAACGATAAAGCTGATCAACCTTGGTGGCAACAAATGGCTCATGTGGCTTGAGGGCTGTGGTGCCAGCCTCCTTATGCTCTTGCAAAAAACGCAATCCATACTTCTGCCTCAGGCGACCAATGGCCACTGCATGAGGTGTTGTCTTGAGTTTGTGGACTAGTTCAGTGAAGCTAAGTTCACCCAACCAAATCATGCCATAACGGTCATCAGTGGCACGACCTGAGTCAGATCTCGGCTCAACATAAAGCCCATGGAAGCCAGAAAGCCCTTGAATGGTGGTTTGTGCACTGGCTGGGACGCGAATCAAAACACTCCAGTAACTGGCATCCGCAGGTTTTGTAAATCGAGAATCAGCTCGATGCCAGCTACGTGCCCACAAGTCCAAGATGACACTGTCCAAGGGCTCGTCAACAGCAGCATGATAATGGACACAGTCTTCACCACAACCCGAAATCTTACACAAGGTGAGAAGCGGGTGCTGTTGCAAAACGGCACGAACTGGCTGCAAAATAAAATCTGACCACTGTCCCTCCCACTGATCCCGAAAGACGCACAGCCTAACGGTTTGCGTTGGGAGATGTTCCAAAACACACTGAGTGCCACCATTGCCCCGAGTGATGGGAACTGGGCCAAGCATGACAATGCTGCCTTGGAGAAGCACTGGTTCATTGGTGCCTCGAAACTGTGCTGGAAAGCGCAAGTGGTTTACAACCAAGGCACTACCATGATCCGCAGGAATGGGTGTAGTGGTTATCACCGCAAGTGGTTTGTCACTCAAGGTCGTACCCGCCTTCAAAAAAGGCATCACATCAGCAATGGCACAAAAGGCAAGTCCAGAGGCTGAGGAGGTCACGTCACTAAACTGAATTTGACCAATCTCTTTATCCTGTGCATAAAAGGTGCCGGGGACCAATTGAAGCATGTTAGGATCAATCCACAACGGCTTGGTTTCGCCGGCCGGCTTTGGATGCTTCTTGCCAGTCTTGGCCTGGATCTGGAACTTGGCTGATGCTTTTGCACGGATCTTGGATTGCAGTTCGTCTGCATGGATCCATTGAAATGAAACGTGTGGTCTTGAAGCAATGGCCTTGAGATAAGTCCAAGGATTGGCCGATTGCAAGGCTGCCTCAATTTCTTGATAGCCAATCTTGCGAAGTCCAAGGGCAGCACGCTCCTCCACTCTATCTTGAGGGACACCTTTTTCCTGAAGTACTGTGGCAAGCTGAAGCAGCAGTTGAGCTTCTCCGGTGCTTTTCCCTCCTCCCTTCCCAAATCCAATGAAGGGGGTCGACGAAAATCCAAAGAGGGAGTGTTCAAAAGCTACAAAACGGTCATGATACGTCTCAAAATCCAAGACGTTCATGGCATCGAAAAGGCCAATAGCAAGTCCAAGGTGTCCCAAGAGAATGGTGCCACAGGTTGAGAGTCCATGCTGAACCAACTGAGAGCAAGAGTCAAGGCGCACGCAATCCAAAGTCCAACCAACCATGAACTGTTCCAGCAAGTGAGCGATGCGAGGAGGAATCGTTGGATGAGCAAGTCCATCCCAAAAGCCAACGCTGAACCCACTGAGGCTAGACAAACGCAAAGTCAAGAGAATCCAATGACCGTCCAACAAAACACAGATACAGTGAATCTCACCCAACTCAGGAGCATGAGACAAGCCCGATCCAAAATGCAAAGTCCAACGACCATCCTGCCAAGCGAATCCATGGAGGACACATTTCGCAGGCTGTGGCAGCAGAGTGCGCATGAAGCTGGCAAGTGCCTGGATTCCAGCCATAGAAAGGCCCCACCAAGTTGCGGTGCCTGCCCCACGCAAGTGAATGGTGAAGGTGCGGGGAGTCCAAATCCGCTGATCCAAGTCCACCATAAGTCCATCTTCCAACAGAAGTGCAGCATGAGGCAAAATATTCAAAGCCAACAAACCTTCAAAAAGGAAAGAACCCGGTGCCAAGGGGATCAAACTGAATGTGGTGGAGTCTGTGAGACACACCACCACTGGCTCCGACGGTGCACAGGCAATCTGTTGCTTGTGGGTTTGAATCAAAGTGTGCGGCCCGTAGTACCCTCTATCCCGAATCAATGCATGAACAGGCACTCGAACAGGTCCATCCAACAACAGGAATTTCTCCCCCCCAGTCTAACATGATGCGGCTGGCTTTCAGGAAATGTTCTATGGTGACAAGTCCAAGATTTTTCCGGAAAGAAAAAGCGGCACCAGTCACATTGTAGATGGTCACCTCTTGTGCCTGCCAAGCTTCAGGGACAGGCCACAAATGGAACTTCTCAAAGCAGAGTCGCTCTTTGAAACAAGCCAATCTTCCTGGAACAACGTCCCAATCATCCCCAAACAGAGCTGCACCACAGAAAGAGATCATCCAAAGCGCCTGAAGAGGAGAAGCTGATTGCCCAAGCAGGCACAGAGAAGCTCGCAATTCGGAATCAACTGGGGTGTCCGCTGGAAAACCTAACAGGAACATGACCTCGCGAGGGTGCAAGAATCTTGGCTGACCACCACGCCCAAAAACCAAGACGCCCCGTAAACCGCCTGCTTGAAGGCGCTCCAAGCGAAAACCATGACTCCTGCAGCCACAAGGGCAGCCACTTGTGGCATTGGCATAGCTGTGAAGAAATGTTGGGCAGGGACCACAAACATTCAGCATGCGATTGGGCTCATCAAAGGTGCCAAGATATGTTTGAGATTCCAGTTCGGTCAGAAGCAGCTGTTCTTCCTCATCAGATGACCACCACGGCCAAGCAGAAACAAGCTGGTCAACACGATGACAAGAGACATCGGACGGCCAAGAAGACAAACACGGCACATCAACCGAAGGCAAACAGGCAGCCCACCATCTGGATCTCCGACAAGGCCATTGATCGGCCAGGTCAAAGACCAACTCATGCAAGGTCCAGTCCATACAACGGCAAAAGTCCATGAGAACGGATTTGAGGTCATGAGACAAGCCGACACCAGGCGTACATTCCAACAACAAACCTCCAGGGCAGAGAAGATATGCTGTACGGAGTGTACCCCAAAAACTTTGAATGCGAACATCACTCATGCCGTGTTGATCTCCCTGTTGGCTAACAGGCTGGCAGTTGAATCCGGAAGTCACTAAACCCACCCTGGCTGGATGGTGTTGCAACAAGGCTTTGGCTGTCGAATCTTTGGTGATGTCTGCCTGAAGTACAAGACTACTCAACCTAGCTCGAAACAAATGCTGTGCGGAAAGCCCATTGGAATCAACCTGCCCAATGACTTTGAAGCCACACTGTTGAGCACCACATCCTATACCACCCATGCCAGCACAGAGCTCAATCAAGGTTCGCTCAGGAGAATTTGCAAAGACAAAACAGGCAGACTCAGAAGTCCATTGAAGCAAGCAAGGATCATGATCACTTGGCATGAGATCAAAAAGAACGCACATGGAATGTTCTGGAACAGGTCCTTGGATGCAAACTTCATGGTCGGTCCCACACAACGTACCCTTGACACCAAGCTCGGATGCACTGGAGGTGCAAACCCTCCCATTGAAGACCACCCCCACTGCCGGGGGACAAAGCCATGGCTGCGCAAACATGGTGAACACGCCCCAACAATTAGCCGACGCAGGTCAACCACCGGAAGGAGTTGGGCCAAGACCGCTAATCTTACCAACCAATAATGTGGCTGAATTACAACGACACCGCGAGGTATCCAGGAATGATGGTTACGGAATCATCCCCAAAAAGGCCGAAAAATTCGGGTACTCGGTCCGCTCCTATCCGTGTGACCGACTAGGAAGTGGTTAGGCCTTATTTCAGGCTGGCAAATTTCTAATTTCATTCATTCGTCCCAGTATTATCCCATTCTTATTATGATTGTGACAATTATTTCATTATTCTCCCATTCTTCTCCCATTAATCTTCCATGATTCTCTCATTAATCTCTCATTAATCTCCCATTATTCAGATTTCAGCTTGATGATCTGGTTGAGGCAGATGACCTGGTTCAACCACGGGACGATAGCCACAATGTTGTGAGCTAAACCAACTTGGCTATCATACATCAACTATAGATCTCAAATCAATAGAGCTATTTTTGGTTAAATCACCCTTTCCTATATATATATACACATACATATATATTATATATACAGTATATGGTTTGTGGCCGTTTTTTCGAGGTTGGAAAGTTGAAGAAGGAGCTGAGCCGCGAGCAGGACAGGGCTAAGAAACAGGCTGGGACAATCAACAATAAAACAAATGGGGGATTCCCGAGCAAACCAATGTTTGACTACCAGAGGGTATTCATTGCTTTGGTTTTAGGATGTTGCAGGAAACTATCATGTTGGGAACAACGCAAGGTTTCCTGCAGATTTTCGCGTAAGTCATTCAAGGAGTGATTCATCACTCTTACTGTGGTATTTCTACAGGAATTGAGAAGATATGAAAAGGACTCCTGCCGAATTTTCGCACCACATGCCCAAAAAAGTGTCAGTAAAGGACCCCCAAATCCCAATGTTTTCTAGATGTCACCGTCCCGAAAACTTTGGTCTTCCGATTCCAAACAAAAACTACATTGGGGTACAATGATGTACAATGAACATGTAGCATTTCTCCAAAGTCCACTGGGTTTCCGTTCGAAAAAGTCGTTCAGGCGCTGGAAGCATCTAAAAAGGAAGACCAACTGAGGCAAAAACTGAAGAAGACTAAGCAGGACAGCCTTCTGGTTTAAAGGTAGCCACGGGAATGTAATATGGGATTTAGCGCGAATTTTTGCGGAGATAATGAGACGTAACGAAAACATGTCGATATATGGGTGTTTTCTAAGTCAGTTGGTGCCCAACATCTTGCAATTTATTGGTAATTTTATTGGGGAAACCGCTGGGTTTAACCCAATTGCGAGACAGCCCTGATGATCAACCCTTGGGGCTTGGGGCGTTCCCAGTCCTGGATACACTTGTTTGATAGGTCAATCATCGAATGAATTGGCCATCTACAGCAAACCGTTAGTTGGCCAACTCTGTTCTGAGTTGGAGGAACTCCAAGACCATGGGCGACTCCAAAGAACCATATCCTGGTGGATCAAGATGGGTATGTCATAGGTGTGTCATCGGTGTGAAGTTTTCATATGGATCCCTAGAACCCATAGTAGGTTTGGGGCACGATTTTACATTACTGCTTTGGCTAGGTCTGGACATCACAAGGAAAGGCTGGTGTTTTTGTTGCTCAGATTTTGGATTCCCATGATACCACATCGTCAAGAAACATATCTTCAGCATATGTCATAAAATGTCGTTACCAGGGATTCACTTCTGGTTCAGAATGAAGGGAACCTCCATCCAAACCTCCCGTTTAATCATCTTCTACGACATGCGACTTGGTCAAAATTCAAGACCCCTCCACCTACGAAATGCTGTGCGAATTCTTCGTTTTTGGACCGTGTTTACAGTTCTCCGTCATCTTCCATCTTACATTTGTGTTTGGCCCAACAAAATCGGACTTTCCAAATTCCCATCCCAGTTCTTGGCCCCAAACTTCCCCATGGGCCATGGTGGGCCGTGGTCCATTTCAGGAGGAGGATCTGAAGGTGGAGAGGTCCCACCAGAAGATGCAGGAGCTCGAGTTGAGCCTGGAGAAGCAACGCGAGGTTAGCCCGGTCCCAGTCGACTGGGAATCTGGGTTTACCACCCGCTTATTGAAGGGTTAGCTGGAACATGACCTTTTTTTAATGTGAAAAGCATCATGAAACATCTGTTTATTCTGTTTCAATGGGCGATCTATACCATATGACTGAGGGTAATTGATGATTTGATATAGGAGAATCTATAGGGACACATAGGGAATTCAGCCAACCAAAATAATTGATATTTCGTTGGGATATAATGGGGATAGGATACAAGATTTATCCAGATTTATGCCTTGATACTTATATTACTTATATTCTTGGTGTTTTTTTTGTTTAAGGGCCCCTTTTGTCATCTTTGAGAGCTATATAGGCAAGACTTTGTTTTTTTTGTATGGTTTTTCTGCGAAAAACAGACGTTTGGGCACCAGAAATAAAATGTTTGGTTGAGTGAAACTAACGTTTCTTTTCCATGCAAATTTCAGCACAAAAGCATCACAGATTGAAAACGCACGTTTTCTTCCAAAAACTGACGTTTTTTTTGGCCTGAAAGGTAAGTTTCCCACCCAGAAACAAACCTTTCTGGAAACGTTTGATTTAAGCCCAGACCAACTTGGGCCCACTTGGCTCCAACTTGGGCCCATGGCGCAGCTTGGGCCCGTTTAAGGGCAATTTCTACACATCACACTTCACACTCCACACTACACTTAACACTCTAATTACCCTTCACACTAGAGCAGTGCTGAGGATTTGCGAGGCCGAAGGTCAAGGATAATGGGCCGGTGCCGTGAAACATGAGTTTCCAGATGCAGAAACGAACGGTTTGAACCATTTTTTGCCAGGAAAACGAAACTAACAAACTACAAGTAGCTCAAGAAAGTATTGTTTTTGAGATTGCTTTAAGGGGCCCCACAGCTCAGCAAGAAGAAGGTGCCCCGTGAACTGCTGGAGCAGTTCCCACGGCTCATTCCAATTTTATCGATTTGTAAGGCCCAAAACTGACGTCAGGGACATTCTTGCAAGTGACGTCAGGGACGTTCTTGCAAGGTCAACTTTATTTTTGACGCTAAAAACAACGGCTTCCTGTGACGGTTGCCATAATATATCAACCCATTACTGCACCTTGTGAGAATAACATGTTCCTCTAACAACTCCCGTAAACTCTCCTGAGCTTTTGGGGGCTCGTTCGCCCAAGGTTTTTTTTTCATCCCATGGATTTCCAATGAATTCTGTGCGAATAACGGCGGAGGTCTCCAATGAGAAGGTGAACAAAGCCAAGATGAAACTGCAAAAACTCCAAGAGGAGGTCCGGAGACCATCGTTTTTCTGTACATGGGCGAGTCTGGACAAGATAGGATGGGAAACTCGTGGGAAAACCACCGATTAATGGTGAAATTATGGGAAATGATACAATGGCATGTAGACATATATGTTAACCAATGGTATTGTGTGTCCACATTGCAATATCACGGGGGAACATGATGATAAACCATGGGATTTGGAGGTATCATATTTTCAGACTAACCAATAAAATACCCCAATTTGGAAGTACAACATGAACAATTTCTGCGGGGATATTCAATTGGATATACCACCATCAGATACCAAAAAAACTGGATATATGTCACTAACAAAATGAATGTGTTTTTTGTTTTGGAAAATCAATAGGGAACAACATGGAAATATTAACAATGAAAACTTCGAAGGAAGGGTTGATATTGATCAGAAATCTCCTATCACTAGCAGTTCAAGGACATTCTTGGGGATGAAACCATGTGTTTTTGGTTCTCTCACCTAGATGGACAGATAGACATGCGTACGTCGTCAGTGAACGTTCCAATGATAGGATGATTTTTAAGTGCTTGGGATATATTGGGATAAATGAAGATGGCCCACCCATAAATTGGCAGGGACAGGTCCGAGTTATAAACCAATTCAACTAGTTTATGTTACTTTAGTTGGTTTTTGACCATGTTTAACGCGTTTTTCTTCTATTTTTATGAATGTTATCCCAATTTTGGATGAAATCAATGGCAAAAAATCAGGTCATCGGAGAAGAGGAGGTCACCGGTGACCCTGGACGGGTGGGTGCTGTGTTTTTTCACCAACTCTTGGGGTACAAAACCACCATGTTTCCCAACCATTTTCTGGGAAACATACTGGACATTACTGGGCCAATTGGGACAAAATCTTAAGTGATTTTGGAACTTTTGGAAGGGGTTTTCCCAGCTGATCTTGGAATCATCGTTCAAAATTGTGGTTGTTTCTTGTTGTTTCATTTGCTATGTGCACTCGTCGAAAAGGTGATCCATATCCGCAAAAAAAATAGGTGTCACAAGAATTTACAACCCTTCACTTTAGCATGGAACCCAAATGTGGCCAGAATCCTTCCAAAATCAAGCAATGCCCTTTGATTACATCGAATTTTTCGAAGAATGCTTATGTCGCCACTCAAAAACAACCGCACACCTCACAAACCACAAGACTCCCCAAAATAAGTGAACACATCCATCGAAACCTTACCAGCAAAGGCTTCAGAACCCAAGGCAAAGTATGCTGCAAGGCCCTTGGCACCAAGAAGTTGGAGTTGCAGCGGGTCCTGCGGGAGGCACATTTTGCGACTCTTGATCAAAAACCTGGAGATGTGCTCGGTTAGCTCTACCCTGAAAGGGGCACTGAATCACGTTATACCCATGAACAACATATTATTCAATTATAGATAAATAATGATAAATACATATATAATACCATGTTATACCCACTAAAAAGCATATATCTGGGTAAATTATAACGACCTCACTGCGACCGAGCCCTGGAATCATGGTTAATAAAGGAAATCATCCCCAAATGGCCGAACTAAATAGAGGTTAGTGAAATATTCTAATTTACCCAGAGATATAGATTTATAATAATATACCCTTTGGTAAATTAACATAGACCCTGAAAATAGCCTAGTTTTAATGGAAACTAATCTTCCAAACCCGACAACTGCCAGGGTCTATGTTAATTTACCAGAGGGTACTTCAATATTACATCAGAGGATTTTTTCCATGTCACCATGTCACCATGTCACCATGTCACCGTGTCCTTTCAGGCCAAGGACATGGAGTCCAGGGCCAAAACGCAAGAGGCTGCCGAAAGCCAAGAGGTGCGCTTTCACCATGGGAGGAAATGATGGGAACATTCACCCGGTACAGCCGGCTGCCGGCTGTTATCATTGGAAATTTCCATTGCCTTTCTGGATTTCTGGATTCACAAAAAACATGCTATCCCGTTACATTAAAATATTGGTGCTGCTAAAGCTCTGTTGGGTGATGTGTTTTTTTTTCTCACTGGGGTGATACTGTCCAATCTACTGGGGACTATCATCATCCAGTAGTGAAATTCTGTTCTTAAAGAAGCAGTATAATGGAAAATCAGAGAGTTTTGAACACTGCCCTGATGGGAAACCATAGGATGATTAAGACCTGGGTTTATCTATAATAAGTAGTGGAATGAATCAACCATCAATGTTAATGGGTTACACGACTAATCATTTTATGGACATATCATGGGATATCATGGGATGTAACATCCGACTAACCAACCAATAATCCTGCACCTATGGTCAGAACATGAATTGGGAATTGTTTTTCCAGAGAAAGTGGATGGTCACCCACCAATGAATGGGGCTTAATCTACGGTACCCACTACCCCGATGGTGGGATGCCCATACTTTATTCCTATAATGTTTTTGACCATGGCACATGTAGGTATGGGTCAGTTCACCCTAACAGGTGCCCTTCTCTTCACAGCTGGCCATAGCTGGCCCCACCCCGATTTTATGGTGGTTTTTGATCATCCACATGGAATATGTGGGGGAATCATTGCGGACCTTAGGTCCTGAGAGTTGGGTATTACAAGTTGGTCTTGTTTCATCCATCCAACCATTGTATAGATATATTGATATATCCGCAACAGCCACCATAAAAAAAATGGTTGTTTGTTAAATCCCATGTTCCATGGCTAAAACTTGATATTTATAAGCTAAATCCCAATTCTTGTAGAGCAAATCATCTTGAATCCCCATAAATTTGATCGCTTCAAGGCCCCACATTTTGTGGAGATTGGGTCAACACCTATGATCTTTCGGGGAATAACATGGAATAACCATCCATTGACCAGCTATGACTGAATGGGCACTGCCATGACTTAGGAGAATCTCCTCGAGGCCAAGTTGAAAGCCGCCTCGGTGATGGAGCACAAAGGCCAGCTTTCCCAGTGTCCTTTGAGTTTGGGAAAACCACATGAAAAACGGATGGAAAACTATGGAAACCCCTATGGCAAATGGATGGAAAACCCACCGTTTTCATAGGGACATCATCACAAATCGGGTCGTTGTAGTCATTTGTCCATGGGTATGTTAGATGATCGGGCAGAAAAGAAAAAGACACTTGGCATTGGCATTTGTTCTTGAAACAACCTGGCGATTTTTTTGAAAAATTCATGTCAATTATTTTTTGCAGCAACCCAACTTGTATATGTTTGTATATGTTTTATATACCAATCGCAAATTGTTGGGTATATCATCAAATTATCCATGATGTTCTGGTTGTTTTTGCCATTGTATCCCATGAAATATCTCCGTTGAATCCCTTCGCCCCAATATTTTTCACGCCCGCCATACACCATGGTAAATCCTAGGGGATGAAATAGATTGAAACCACAGACTGGGACCATAGAAATTCAGGATGTTTCATGTGAAACCGGGGGACGGCATCCTGCCACCAGTGAGGCAAGACGGCGTTGCAGAGACAGGCTGAGCATGAGGCGGGGTGGTTGGAAGGAGGTAAGCCAGTTGGAGCTATAGCAATGGGCATCCATATTCCCAGTCAAAAAAAGTGAGCCAGTTGGATCTATAGCAGCTATAGTCAGAGTTTCCCAGCCTGATAGAATGGTCTGCGGAAGGGAAAATTATGATCAACCGTGATTCGAGGTGCCCAGGTGCCCTGTTTTCAGACAAAGCCATATCTTGCAACCATCAGGAACCATTATGTCAAAGAGATTAGATCAGTGATCTTGATATCTTGTAAAACAACTGACTGCCCAAATTCAGTAACTGCTGGTCTAGTTGAACTCGCAATAAACATCAGTGTAGAGTGGTCGACGCACATATATTGATGACCCCCCAACAACCCTATGTTGATGCGCATATTCCTATCACAAATTTGAACGCCTCAAATTCTCCATCTTCCACCATACCTAAGAGGCTTTCAAACCAACCCCCCAAAGTGGTTGTGTCAAATCATCCCGGTTTCCTTACTTTGTGTCTCAAAGGTTAGTGGAAGGCTGGAGATTTCTGTATCCACATTGTCAGGGGTTACCCTCTGCTTATTTAACGTAGCGAACTGGAAAATCACCATTTTTAAGAACAGCACATCATCATTTTTATCATATAATAGGATCATTTTCCATGGCTAAGTTAAATAACCAGATGGCGTATAGAAGTAAGCGAAAACCAACCACTTAGACAACCCAGGGAATTCTCCCTCTTTCACTTGTCATCGCAATATTCATTGAGGTAAGATCTGCAGGAACCCCTAATAATCAATTTGGGCGTAAACACATTGGTTTCGGGTTTTAGCAACCACAAAAAGATAGAACAAACAAATCTACTCATCCAGTGGCTAGTGGTAAATTGATGTAAATTCTAGTTTTCTATTTGCTTGGGGGTTACTATTTCCCAACAAAACCAGTCCATGATTTCAGAATCCACCAAGTTTTCCACTTCCCAGGCTGCTGAGCTCCAAAAGCTGATTGTGCAGCAGAAGGAAATGGAACAGAAGCAGGTGGCCGGACCCTTTTTTGTGTGCCGGAAGACGTGTTCTTAATATGGGGGATTGATCCTCCAGAAATGCTCGCCAGTGGTTGGAACACAGCGTTTTGGAGCAGTTTCCAGGCACTGAAAAACACCACTGGGATTTCAAGATCGAGAAAGATGATACCCTCAAGTTGGAAGGTTCTAGAATGCCCCCCCCTGGGGATAAACACGGAGGGTTCTAGAATGAAACATTGGCATTGTAGAACCTCCGGTCCCGTAAGCATTGTAGAACCTTGGAAGCTTCTATAATAGCATATGATGATATATGGTGCAGGTTTTGTGCAGGTATTTGTGATCCCTAGTGAGCCGGTGGTTGAAAGCAATTTGCCAGTTTGATCCTCCTGTTGAAACTATGGTTTTGGTGATTTGCAAGGCTCGATTGCACTATGTCGCAACAATATTGCCGAACCAATGCCATTCGGCACAAAAACCCAGAAGGATTATATACAGATACATGGTAGAAAAATTGACAAAATCACAGTTCAGTTTATTTCTTGATCTCAGTACATGGTAAGAACATTTCTGACTGGGGGAACTTGTGGGTTCAGCTCAATTTTGAAGTGGTTAGCTGTACCTTTACCTTTGCATTCACCCCAACAATGCATGGTTTTTTGAGTTTATTTTTTGCATGTTTGCTTCTTTTGCCGTCACCTGAGGCACACATAAAGTGGCTTTTGCATGTTGTGTCACAAGAGGCTGCAAAATCCCGCGTCGAAAATGTACGTGCATTTGCTAGAGATTTGCATGCATTTGGGCTGTTCTTTTGATTTAATTCCGAAAAGGCGTGGGCCAAATATTGTCTAGCTCCACATCTCTGAACGAAAGGGCCAATAGGTGAAGTGAGCGGCAAATTGGTAGGTAGACAATTTCCCCACTGGAAACAGCTGTAGTGACACACACACAAACGAATTTCAGGGATAATCAAGTCAGCTAAAACTGTGCCTGCCATCTTTTGTTCTTCTACAAGTAGACGAATGCCTGTGCAACAAATGAACATATCTAAGCTATCTAAGCTATCTAAGCATACAACAGTTCTAAAATGGTTTCCCCTTGCAGTAGCTGGTATTTCACACGTTTGGCCAAGCAGGAAACCATTCCAGAACCCTTCCCAAAGATAAATACCTCCAGGGGTAGGTAGGCAGGTACAACCCAATGCCAATGAATTTCAGTGATAATCAAGTCAGCTAAAAACTGTTTCTGCCATCTTTTGTCCTTCTACAAGTAGACGAATGCCTGTGCAACAAATGAACAAATGAAAGTTACCTAAGCATGCAAATGTTCTAAAATGGTTTCCCCTTGCAGTAGCTGGTATTTCACACGTTTGGCCAAGCAGGAAACCATTCCAGAACCCTTCCCAAAGATAAATACCTCCAGGGGTAGGTAGGCAGGTACAACCCAATGCTAATGAATTTCAGTGATAATCAAGTCAGCTAAAACTGTTTCTGCCATCTTTTGTTCTTCTACAAGTAGACGAATGCCTGTGCAACAAATGAACAAATGAAAGTTACCTAAGCATACAACAGTTCTAAAATGGTTTCCCCTTGCAGTAGCTGGTATTTCACACGTTTGGCCAAGCAGGAAACCATTCCAGAACCCTTCCCAAAGATAAATACCTCCAGGGGTAGGTAGGCAGGTACAACCCAATGCTAATGAATTTCAGTGATAATCAAGTCAGCTAAAACTGTTTCTGCCATCTTTTGTTCTTCTACAAGTAGATGAATGCCTGTGCAACAAATGAACAAATGAAAGTTACCTAAGCATACAACAGTTCTAAAATGGTTTCCCCTTGCAGTAGCTGGTATTTCACACGTTTGGCCAAGCAGGAAACCATTCCAGAACCCTTCCCAAAGATAAATACCTCAAGGGGTAGGTAGGCAGGTACAACCCAATGCCAATGAATTTCAGTGACAATCAAGTCAGCTAAAAACTGTTTCTGCCATCTTTTGTCCTTCTACAAGTAGACGAATGCCTGTGCAACAAATGAACAAATGAAAGTTACCTAAGCATACAACAGTTCTAAAATGGTTTCCCCTTGCTGTAGCTGGTACCTCACACGTTTGGCCAAGCAGGAAACCATTCCAGAACCCTTCAGAAAGATAAATACCTCCAGGGGTAGGTAGGCAGGTACAACCCAATGCTAATGAATTTCAGTGATAATCAAGTCAGCTAAACTTACCATTTTTTAAGTGACAGCTAGACAGCTGTAGTTCGACACACAGCTGCTTGCTGATTCCGCATGTGATGATTTGTTCCTTGTTTTTCTCCTTTGACGCAAAAACACTACTGTTTTGAAAACACTGCATGTAGGAGTTTGCTGTTTTATTGAACATTTATCTGGTTGGACATGTCTGCATAAAATTAAACAAACAGTCGCACGGGAAATGGAACGAGTCCACAACTAAATTCGTTTGAAAAGGGGTGACCTAGGGGACATTCTGAAAGCATTTGGGTTCGGGTGTACTTTAATGGTTTGGCAAGAAAGGAAGCAAAGAGCGCGGGCAAAAACGTGGCTCCATAGGTAGTAAATGATACGACCATCTGTGGCCGGGCCGCCACCCATTGAAAATGTTGTGGAGCATCATGGAGTGTTCTTTGCAGTTTTTTTTTTTATTCGCCTCATGTTGATCTATTTTTTGGGGGCGCAGATTTCCTCATCGTTTTTTTCCTGAAATGCGATGGTTTCAACAAGGATTTTTTAATGTTTTTAAAGGTTTTTTTAAGGGTGGAAAATACCATAATTAAACCAATTTTAGAACCCAAAAACGGAATAACTGCCAAAAATTTTGGGTTCTAAGACCCCCCTGGTAGATTCCATTTTAGAAACCATTTTTGGGTTCTAAAATGGTCCCCAAGGGGGTTTGAAACAACTTGAGAGGATGAAAGATGGGGATGCGGTAAGCAAAAAAGATGGGATGTCAAGCAACCAAGGATCAAGTATGATAGGTTAAAACAAACATGTTTCACCAAATTTTTTTGCTTCTGACATATGATTCCTTAAGATTTGCTGATGATTTTCGGCTCCTTTTCACCAATGGTGCGGTATCCCACCCGGAAAGTTTTTTCAAATGTAGCCCCATGGGATGGTCAAATTTGTACGTGCCACACCAGTGTTTGTTGCTCTGTTTGACAGAAGGGATCTTCAATATACAACTTGCACTGCATGCGTGTCTATGTGCGCTGCAACGATGCGTCTACCCAGGATTGCAAAGGTTGGAACTGTCCGGGAGCAATTCCGTTGCAATTAATCCATGCACCGTTGGCCGGGTGCAGACGCTACAACCGCTACGATTATTCCGTGTCTTTGGGGCCAACGCACTGCATCTGCGGTGTATGACAGCAAGACAAGATGGGCTACGTGCTTGCTGGGGACGCAGGCTAGTCATGCTTTGCCCCACTGTGTGGTTTCAAAGTGTCCCGGTGGCTATGCCAGTGACTAATCTGGTTGATGGGGAGGCCATTCACGGATGTGATTTTTAGTCCCATAGGTCTCGTTGGCGTCGTTGGTGTGTTGTCGTCTGTTGCCGTTGACTGCGAACCTTGATGAACCTTGCCAATCTTTGAAGAGCTTGTTGCCAAGCATGGGAAAGCGTGCAATTTGTCGACCTTCAAGTCGATTTAAGTTTGTCTAATTTTGTATATCCTGAGTTCTCATTGGCATGACCGGCATGTGTTTTATTCTTTATAGTCATATTGTTGGTATGACACGAAACCAGTCAGGTTTGGATAACAGAACCAAAATTCATGAAACGTCCAATGACGTCCAATGTTTGGGGGTTGGCTTTAGCGATCTTCACTTTGTTCTGAATCTTGCATGTCTTGAAAGATTGTGTTCGCTGCAACATGTGCGCTGCAACGACGCGTCCACCCAGGATTGCAAAGGTTGGAACTGTCCGGGAGCAATTCCGTTGCAATTAATCCATGCACCGTTGGCCGGGTGCAGACGCTACAACAGCTACGATTATTCCGTGTCTTTGGGGCCAACGCACTGCATCTGCGGTGTATGACAGCAAGACAAGATGGGCTACGTGCCTGCTGGGGACGCAGGCTAGTCATGCTTTGCCCCACTTGGTGGTTTCAAAGTGTCCCGGTGGCTATGCCAGTGACTAATCTGGCTGATGGGGAGGCCATTCACGGATGTGATTTTTAGTCCCATATAGGTCTCGTTGGCGTCGTTGGTGTGTTGTCGTCTGTTGCCGTTGACTGCGAACCTTGATGAACCTTGCCAATCTTTGAAGAGCTTGTTGCCAAGCATGGGAAAGCGTGCAATTTGTCGAACTTCAAGTCGATTTAAGTTTGTCTCATTTTGTATATCCTGAGTTCTCATTGGCATGACCGGCATGTGTTTTATTCTTTATAGTCATATTGTTGGTATGACACGAAACCAGTCAGGTTTGGATAACAGAACCAAAATTCATGAAAAATCCAATGATGTCCAATGTCTGGGGGTTGGCTTTAGCGATCTTCACTTTGTTCTGAATGCTGCATGTCTTGAAAGATTGTGTGCGCTGCAACATGTGCGCTGCAACGACGCGTCCACCCAGGATTGCAAAGGTTGGAACTGTCTGGGAGCAATTCCGTTGCAATTAATCCATGCACCGTTGGCCGGGTGCAGACGCTACAACAGCTACGATTATTCCGTGTCTTTGGGGCCAACGCACTGCATCTGCGGTGTATGACAGCAAGACAAGATGGGCTACGTGCTTGCTGGGGACGCAGGCTAGTCATGCTTTGCCCCACTTGGTGGTTTCAAAGTGTCCCGGTGGCTATGCCAGTGACTAATCTGGCTGATGGGGAGGCCATTCACGGATGTGATTTTTAGTCCCATAGGTCTCGTTGGCGTCGTTGGTGTGTTGTCGTCTGTTGCCGTTGACTGCGAACCTTGATGAACCTTGCCAATCTTTGAAGAGCTTGTTGCCCAGCATGGGAAGGCGTGCAATTTGTCGAACTTCAAGTCGATTTAAGTTTGTCTCATTTTGTATATCCTGAGTTCTCATTGGCATGACCGGCATGTGTTTTATTCTTTATAGTCATATTGTTGGTATGACACGAAACCAGTCAGGTTTGGATAACAGAACCAAAATTCATGAAAAGTCCAATGATGTCCAATGTTTGGGGGTTGGCTTTAGCGATCTTCACTTTGTTCTGAATGCTGCATGTCTTGAAAGATTGTGTGCGCTGCAACATGTGCGCTGCACCGACGCGTCCACCCAGGATTGCAAAGGTTGGAACTGTCCGTTGGAACTGTCCGGGAGCAATTCCGTTGCAATTAATCCATGCACCGTTGGCCGGGTGCAGACGCTACAACCGCTACGATTATTCCGTGTCTTTGGGGCCAACGCACTGCATCTGCGGTGTATGACAGCAAGACAAGATGGGCTACGTGCTTGCTGGGGACGCAGGCTAGTCATGCTTTGCCCCACTGTGTGGTTTCAAAGTGTCCCGGTGGCTATGCCAGTGACTAATCTGGTTGATGGGGAGGCCATTCACGGATGTGATTTTTAGTCCCATAGGTCTCGTTGGCGTCGTTGGTGTGTTGTCGTCTGTTGCCGTTGACTGCGAACCTTGATGAACCTTGCCAATCTTTGAAGAGCTTGTTGCCAAGCATGGGAAAGCGTGCAATTTGTCGAACTTCAAGTCGATTTAAGTTTGTCTCATTTTGTATATCCTGAGTTCTCATTGGCATGACCGGCATGTGTTTTATTCTTTATAGTCATATTGTTGGTATGACACGAAACCAGTCCGGTTTGGATAACAGAACCAAAATTCATGAAAAGTCCAATGATGTCCAATGTTTGGGGGTTGGCTTTAGCGATCTTCACTTTGTTCTGAATGCTGCATGTCTTGAAAGATTGTGTGCGCTGCAACATGTGCGCTGCACCGACGCGTCCACCCAGGATTGCAAAGGTTGGAACTGTCTGGGAGCAATTCCATTGCAATTAATCCATGCACCGTTGGCCGGGTGCAGACGCTACAACAGCTACGATTATTCCGTGTCTTTGGGGCCAACGCACTGCATCTGCGGTGTATGACAGCAAGACAAGATGGGCTACGTGCTTGCTGGGGACGCAGGCTAGTCATGCTTTGCCCCACTGTGTGGTTTCAAAGTGTCCCGGTGGCTATGCCAGTGACTAATCTGGTTGATGGGGAGGCCATTCACGGATGTGATTTTTAGTCCCATAGGTCTCGTTGGCGTCGTTGGTGTGTTGTCGTCTGTTGCCGTTGACTGCGAACCTTGATGAACCTTGCCAATCTTTGAAGAGCTTGTTGCCAAGCATGGGAAAGCGTGCAATTTGTCGAACTTCAAGTCGATTTAAGTTTGTCTCATGTTGTATATCCTGAGTTCTCATTGGCATGACCGGCATGTGTTTTATTCTTTATAGTCATATTGTTGGTATGACACGAAACCAGTCAGGTTTGGATAACAGAACCAAAATTCATGAAAAGTCCAATGATGTCCAATGTTTGGGGGTTGGCTTTAGCGATCTTCACTTTGTTCTGAATGCTGCATGTCTTGAAAGATTGTGTGCGCTGCAACATGTGCGCAGCAACGACGCGTCCACCCAGGATTGCAAAGGTTGGAACTGTCCGGGAGCAATTCCGTTGCAATTAATCCATGCACCGTTGGCCGGGTGCAGACGCTACAACAGCTACGATTATTCCATGTCTTTGGGGCCAACGCACTGCATCTGCGGTGTATGACAGCAAGACAAGATGGGCTACGTGCTTGCTGGGGACGCAGGCTAGTCATGCTTTGCCCATCTTTGCCCCGCTTGGTGGTTTCAAAGTGTCCCGGTGGCTATGCCAGTGACTAATCTGGTTGATGGGGAGGCCATTCACGGGTGTGCTTTTTAGTCCCATAGGTGTCTTGACTTGTTTTGTCAGTGCAACTCCCGAAAGCTGTCTACACCTGGCTTGAGCAGCCTCAAAAGCCTGGTTGGGAACTGGTTCTACCGGTTTGTATTTATAGCAATTCCATGCTAGTCCAACAATGGATTGTAATGATCTCTTGTCAACAACTTAGTAGAACTCCAAAATAAAAACAATAAACATCGATAAACCCATGCATTTTGATGCATTTTGGATGCTGCTCACCTGTAAAAAAGTGCAAATGGCTTGGGGTCCCCAAGTGGATTCACCCAGGTCTCTGCCCTGGAAAAGCAGATCAAGGCGACTCAGGCGCCGAAAGCACAAAATGGCTTTTTTGACCGATTTTAACACGGAAAATTTCCGCCAACTATAGTCTATAGTTAAGGGTATGTTAAGTTAGCTACACATAGTCAGATGAGTCTATACCAATCATATCCCATACAAATCCATACAATATGCTAGACTATTATCCCCATTAACTCAGCATGAACTGCTATATATATAATATAATAAATATAAATATAAATAATGCCATTTATAATGCATTGACGTCCATTAAACATCAACTCCTCCTGAACTCCAAATGTAATTCCTCAACCTTGTAGCTGCTTTCTATACGGATACCCTTGGATGATCATCTCAGACTGTCGCTTGTTGCACGCAGACCTGGTGTAAGTCCGACATTTTCAGACACAGATCCGATTATTGGGTCTTGGTAATACAGATACATAAAGATTATAATATTTATATATTAATATATATAATTACATATATACATCATATATGCTATGTTCCCACTGGAAGTGTGTTTTGAAGTGATGCTTTAAAATGGGTATGTTCTGCAGTGATGGCTGGTATGGTGTTCTGGAGTGATCCTGTTGCCGTGTCCACAGATCCCCCAATGGATGGCGAGGCCAAGTCTCCCAAGTTCCTTTCCGCTTAGGGCGGCCCTCGACCCGACTCGACGCGGGAGGAAAAGGCGTCGGGAAACCATCCCAGAATGGCTCCGTGAACGAACAAATTTCTTAGCTGAAACAGCAACTGCTGATGACCATCAAAACTGGATGGTCTGGGTATACAAAGTCAGGGCGCAATTTTTCAGCCGTAGCCGTATGCAGCACTTCAAACTCTTTGTGGCCTGAGGCGCTCCTGGGAATCAATATATAGGCTGATGATGATGATGATGATGATGATGATGATACGCCTAAGGTTAGCCCCTCTATTGGTCCCAAAAGGGCACCATTGGTTCCAAGTGGGTCAGCATATTTGATGTATTCCAGGGGGTACCAGTAGCAGCTGCCCAAAGCAGTGTTGGTACGCAAGGGCTGCAAGCACGAAAAAGTGACCATATGCTCGACCAATCTCAAGCATATATGGGAGTGTCCAAGAATGAGTGATATCAGGGATAGCTACTATACCAGGGATACTTTCTATGTGTTGGGTTTCGCAGGACACAGAATGATCAAGATCATTCCGGTAGACTTTAGAGGCTTTTTGGCCCATAAAACAAAAAAAAAAGATTTTGTTGGACCGGCCATGGGCCAACCATGACATGCCATGACTAGCTTTTGAGCTCAAGTCAAGAAGGGCCCAAGTGTTGGCCCAAGCTTGCGCCCGAGATTTCCGGGCACAGGTGCTGCACGGCCAACATGAGCGTGGTATTTGGGGATTGAATTCACCAAAAGATGGACCAAAAAACACCAAAAGATGGACCAAGAATAACCGAAAGATGGAAGTTCATGTGGGTTGATAGATTGATATTATCGATGATTTCCGAAAGGGTTGCCAGTTCGATGTGCATTTTCTTGGTAGCTTGCAATCTGGCAATGTCGAGGCTACACATCTAGCAAGACTTTTGAGTGGAAGAACTAGAATGGAGTCGTTGGGGAGACACGTGTAATCCATAATGCGATCTACATACAGCCCAGCGGGTAAGAGCAGGGAAGCGAATAAGAGCTGCAAAGAAATGACAATTCTTGACACATATTCACAATCAATCAATGGCAATATCCTAAATCATCCAAAATCTGTGAAGTCTTGTTTGGTCCAGTTCCATATTCTTGGTCCGTTTTTTTTTCCTTCTGTGCCAGATTTGGATGATAGGACATTTTCGAGGCTTAACCCATGTCAACCCCAATCAATCCATTGAGGGTAACACTAGTAGTATATCCCCAGCAGAAACAATCCCCAAATGACCTCGAAACAAGCCCCGAATCTCCAAGTGCTGTTATTCCACTGGTAAACTAACATAACTATGGAAAATCACCATTTTTAATGGGAAAACTCACTATAAATGGCCATTTTCAATAGCTATTTTGACATAACCAGAGGGTATTCCACTGTTGTAACACTTCAGGCCCCCAGTTGACGGTTGACCCTGTCGTCCGTGTCGTCAGGGACCTTCCACAAGTCTCGGCTCGCTGCGAAAATGGCGGAGGGCGATGACATGGAATGGTGCCTTGGATATGGAGCGAGAGCCTGACATGAGTGAACGATAGTGAAAGTAGATGATTTACCATGATTTACCATGATTAATCCATGATTAATCCATGATTAATCCATGGTTAATCCATGATTAATCCATGATTAATCCATGATTAATCCATGAATTTACCTATCAAAGATGGCCAATGATGGCCATTGCGCACGGGACATTTCGATCAAGTTGGACACACCCGAATTCTTCCCATGTTTTTGATGGCCCGATGGAGCATATGATGATATGTGATGGTGAAATAATAGGATCTATATAAAGCTTCCAAAGTTTGAGGCAGCTCCAAAAATATCAACCCCCAGGTTTTGGGAAGGTTACTAATAACCATCAGCTGTTAAAATTGTTAGTACTTCCAGTAATTGAACATAGCTCCATTTATAGATGATTTTCCAACTAGAACATATTAAAACATTTATTTGCAGTGGATTGTCCATTGACCAAAAGGGTAAGGAAAGTAGCGGTCAAATTTTCGGGTCCTGTTGTTTGGTGCCCAGAATTTATCGACCAAGGCTCTCTGACTATGTCCTTGCTTTCCTGAAGTGCCGAGCTCTGCCGGGGATGGGGTTTGACATGGTGTCCAACCGATGGATGGATAAGTTCGTTGCCTTGCTGACCATCATCTTTGGATTCTGAGTTTCAGACTTGGCGAAGCAGTGAAGATCCATCAGAATCCCCAGAATCCATCGTTTGCTGATATCCAGAATCTCCTGTGAACACCCAATGCGCCCAGTGGGTTTGTGATATCGGCTGAGACCCACACATCTTGCAGCTGACCATTCTATGCTCGACTCCGCGCAGAAACTAAACATGGTGAGCATGTTCTAGCAGCATTCTGGTCTTGCAAGCCCAAACTGAAACCGTAAACATTTTAAGGGAGCAGATGTGCAACAGTACAAGATCAACAAGCAAATCTCTGGTATGCTTTGGTTGAAGCTTCAGCCATTTCATGTCACAAGAGTTATGATATGATAGTGCATAGTCTTATCATAGTGCGCAGCCCCCAATCTTGCCTCAGCGAAGTTGCAGTACGGTTGCAGTACGGTTGCAGTACGGTTGCAGTACGGTTGCAGTACGCATCGGGTGCGTTGCTTCACACCGCGATGGTGCAGGCAAGTCATTTGCATATATGTCAGTCCCATCCGCATACCACCCATTTCCAATCCAACTTTTGGAGTGGAAATCCCGCTACAAAAATGCAATGGATCCATGAGTTTTCCACCATACATGCCATATTTAGCAATATTTAGCCATATTTAGCCATATTTAGCAATATTTAGCCATATTTAGCCATATTTAGCCATATTTAGCCATATCTATCCATATTTAGCCATATTTAGCCATATTTAGCCCATGAATTGAGGGTAACATTCTCCTATAAATGGAGGTTTCAGTGTGAAAGGGAGCTTAAACCTGGGATGTCCCAGCTATGTTTGATTGCCAGCGGGTACACCTCCACCCCCCCGGCCAGGCTGCCCTGGGGCGTCGCCGAACGCGTACGACGGTGCTTGGTCGGCTGGCCGTGGGCGTCGCTGTGACGGGAGTCCCAGCATGGGCAGGCTGCCAGAAGGTGGTGACCTCCACCATTTATGAAAGTTGGTTCATAATCCCCCATTAACGATAGATATGTATATGATTGTATATGATATACAGTATTTATAATATTTATATTTATAATGTAGTCTATTAAAGCATACCAGTAGGTATACCATCCCCCTAGTTATATATATATCCCCCATATTTTTTGTGAAGGGACAGCTATAAAGTTAAGCCAATAGAACACCCCATACCACCCAATATCCCCCATTAACTACAGCACCACCTCTCAAGCCTCCAGAGGAATTGCAGATTTGCCGAGTTGTCGGTGCTTGGTAAACGAGTTTTTTTGGCGGCTTCTCCAATTGGAAATTCATCAGGAATGGGACATCTTAGCTGAATTTACTGTATAGTCTCATCGACTTCATTCTTTTTTTGGAGGGGTCCTCGAGCAACAGGTTGTTTCACCCAAGCTCAGAGGTCTTAGGTAATCCCAAAATCTCATAAAATCTCATGTTTGATCATGCCCCATTGAAATCTATATTTGGACATAGGACACACGGCCCAAGGGGAAGTGGGGGTTAGAACCTGAGCTGGTGATCTCAGTGATCAACCCAACTGGAGACAGCCCCAATGATCCACATATCGGGCTCCTCATTGTGGGGGTGTCGTATAACGAGGTATGGTATATCTTCCAAAATAGCGAGTGCGTGGAGAAAACCAGGATGAAATAGGATGAACAATAGGCTTTGGGGCAATCAATTATCCATTTATTTAAAGAGAACCTCATTTCTGACCTTCAAAAATGGATCGACATGTCGCACTCGAGGCTCGGCCTGACACCGCCGCTGGGCGCATCTGAAGTTTTCACAGCTTGGGGAAGGCACGGGTCCCTGGTGGGGTGCCATGCGGGATGGAGGTGCAAATTATGGCGAATTGGGGATGGTACTTCAGCACTTTTAACATGCTGGTCTTCGATTTCGCCAACAGAAATGGGGAGATTTGTCAAACAGAATGTTACTGCAGGAGATGGTGAGAAAGCGCATGGGATACATTGTCGAAAACCACTCAAGGAGTGCAGTGGCCTGCACAGTATATAACCACACAAACCAACCACAGTCGACGAGTCTTACGCTTACAATCTGTCATAGTGATGTCATTAAGAATTGCATCTGGATATTTCGTGACTGCCAGACTGCCCCTTTTTTGACCATCTTTTTTTTGGTCATTTGATGTCATTTTCAAAGGGCACTCGTGGTTCTCCTTTGTTGAAAAAGATGGTGGACCTTTGTAGTTTCCATCATCTTTTGTCTTCAAAGAGCCCACCCACGAATTTTACCATCAGCTTGAGAAGGCAAGGTTTACGAGAGGAACAAGGATACAAAGTGATACAGAAATAGGGTAAACATCATTTGTGAGTATATCCCAAATATATCCAAATATATCAGGATTGCATGACTTTTTAACTGATGTTGTATTTTTTAACATCAACATTTGCCCAAAATATCGCGAGGCCTCAGCTGCGGCCGACTTTGCCAACTTTGCGAAGTTGGAGAGCCCAGGCCCAGGGTGACATGGATCAGCAGGGCGAAGGTCGGAGCGCAAAGCGGAGCTTTGCGCCCAGGAACTTCCCTCCCACTGAAACTCACTTTTGATTGGAATCATGGGGATACAACATGATTATACATGATTCAACTATGGAAGTGACATGAAGTGACCATCTCCATCTCCAGCCTCTTTTCTTAGCGCAATTCTATTGGAATAATGAGGAATATCACAATTTCATTGGGATTTCATTGGGATTTGATGATTTGATATGCCTGGAAATCCCCGAACTGGCCATGTCCAGCACTGACCGGCGAGAATATTAACATGGCTCGATAGTAAACGATACTACATGATGACTCCGTGCAAAGATGTTTATTTGTGAGATATTCTATAAGGCCAAGTGACTTTGGTTCTTTTTGCATGTCAGTAAGAAGCGGGGTCCTGCATGTATGCAGTGGATCGTTTCCCCAACAAAGTTAAAAGTCAAAAGGGCGCAAACAGATGTTTTGACAGAACATATTGTACGCGTATAGACCTGGTTGAAGAATATGATTATGTAAATGTATGTAAATGTAATAGTTTATACTTAAATCAAGAGGAACATCATCCATACATTCGGAAAAAAACTGTGCTTCGCTACAGGTCAGATCCATGGGTATCCTGGGACGAGCTTCCACCTGGGGACTTGCTGACACGGAGATTGACTGCCATGTACTCATCCAAGCGGCAATTTTACCAAAATACAAAGATGGGAACCATCATACCCTTCCTCATCTTCAACGGAAACTAGTCTTAGAAAATCCTGGTTCTATGCGTTCCAAGAAAAAGACCTTTTTTCAATCCTCCTGTATACGACGCCTACTTGGACGTGCATTCAAGTTGTGACGTGTCACAATCAGTCGGAAATAACTATGTAATAATTAAATTTATCATCAATAGATATTTCATAGCCCGGGCACCAAATTATATGTGGGATATACCTAAGTTATACCTCAGTTATATCTGGGTTATGATCGCCTAATGATGCCCTCCAAGGTTCCGTCCCCGGTCTCCGAGCAACCGCGGCGAGCGGATACAGCGAGTCCAATCGAACACCGCAGGCGCGATCGCCGGGATCAATGGATTACCAGTACTCAAATGGTCAAACATGGCAACGGAATATGGGGGTTTCATGGAGGTATCCCAAAAATTCCCAGAATGGATGGTTTTTTTGTGGGAAAATCCTACTAAAATGGATGATTTGGGGGTCCATATGCTCAATTTATAGACGTTTTTATTATCAACACCTCCATTTGTATATAGAGGATTTTCCGTTGCGACGTTTAATTGTCAGAGGGTTATGGCATGGCCCATTCAATTCCAAGATTTACCCATGAAAAGGTAGATTTTCGATAGCTATATTAGTTTACTGGAGGGTACTTTACTGGGTACGGATTGGTAGGGAAAATTTGCAGGAACGCCTTTTCTTTACCTTGAAAATGATCATTTAAACCAACTTAGAGACATGATCATCCAAAAAACTTAGAGACTTGATCATTCATTCATTCAGCAGCTGATGGGTCCTATGGCCCGTGCTGTCTTGCAGCAGTGACATGATCATCTAAAAAAAAAATGCGAGCATCAAGCTTCACTATCCAGTTGGCTTATCCGAATGGTCATCTGCTGGAGAATGACCCAGGTGTGCCCGCATTGATATAGTGAAACTATATTAACATATATTAACTATATATGATTTACCTATATATAATATAGTGAATATATGAAAATAGAAAGTTACCTATCGACATATCTCATTTTTGCAGCTTAGATCATCAGGGGTCACATGAATTCCCTTTGTTATTCGCTCACGCTGAGTGCAACCAATGGCAGGACATAGAACTCTTCTGCAGCATTTTCACCAGTTGTCCAAATATTGGGGACCTTGAAAAACGACGAAAAAACATTGGTTTCCGATTTACCTACTGTACTATTTTCCTACTCAAATTGATCATTTTCCGGATTTGAAGTTTTCAGAACCATAGATTGCGTGGCATATGTCAGGCCTTGAAGGTGGCTACTTGGAATCTGGTGCCAGTGGCTCGCATGTGACGAATCTTCAAGTCCTGTTTGCGACTGGTGAAGCATGGACCTTCTGCGTGTCTCCCAATACCCTCGGCCGGGATGTCGGGAAGTTGGTTTCGGAGCGACTTGGATCCCATAGAAATGGGAAATTTGCTCTGCATCACGGTACTTCAGCGCTAGTATTCCATCGATTCCTTGCAGGAACAAGGGATCGCGGGCAAATCAGCAGCCCTGTCATGCATGTTTTTGCCAACAGATCTCTATGCAGCATGATGTTGTGTGAAAGGACTCGCAGTTCCTGATGGTGAGTTTGCACTTGAGGGAGAAACAGCTCGAAGGAGCCATGGCTGGGGAATATTTGTATTACCTCCCTGAAAGTCTTCTGAGCCTTGCTTTCAGTAGAGAATTCAACCACAGCCTGGCTTCCGTCACCTTGCCAAACAGCCTTCAAAGTTTGACTTTCGGCCTGGATTTCAATCAGAGCTTGGACCGTGTGTCATTGCCAAGCAGCCTGCAGCATTTGACCCTCGGTGGTTGCTTCAACCAGAAAGTTGAGGGCTTGACCTTGCCGAGCCATTTGAACAGCTTGACCTTTGGTTTTTCGTTCAACCAGAGCCTCGACCGCCTGACCTTGCCGAGCACACTTCGAAGTTTGACTTTTGGTACCATGTTCAACCAAAGCCTGGAAGGTGTTTCATTGCCAAGCGGTCTTCAAATCTTGTCTTTTGGTGATGAATTTAACCAAAGAATGGAGTGTGCAACGCTGCCCAGAAATCTTAAAAGTGTTGCTTTTGGTTGCCAATTCGATCAATGCCTGGAATGCGTCAAATTGCCCGAGAGCCTTCAAAGCTTGACCTTGGGCACAGATTTCAAACAAAGCCCAGAGCACGTGACCTTGCCAAGCAACCTTCAAAATTTGACATTCGGTCTCACCTTAAAGTACACTCTGGAGCAAGCGACCTTGCCAAGCAGCCTTCGAAGTATAACATTTGGTGAGAACTTTACCCAACCCCTGGAGCACATTAATTGGCCCAATAGCCTTCAAAACGTGACTTTTGGCAAGGAATTCGATCAAAGCCTGGAACACGTGCTTTTACCAAGTGGCCTCAAAAGCTTGAAATTTGGCAGTAAGTTCAACCAAAGCCTGGACAAAGTGGCTTTGCCAACGAGTCTACGAAGCTTGACCTTCGGTGACTCCTTCAACCAACCCCTGGACAAGGTCACTTTGCCACCCAGTGTGCAGAGCTTAAAATTTGGCAGATGCTTCAATCGAGGCCTGGACAACGTTCCTTTGCCAAACAGCCTTCAAAGTTTGACTTTCGGCCTGGATTTCAATCAGAGCTTGGACCGCGTGTCATTGCCAAGCAGCCTGCAGCATTTGAGTTTTGGCGCGCGCTTCAGCCAGAAGCTGGAGGGTGTGACCTTGCCAAGCCATCTGAACAGTTTGACCTTTGGTTTTTCGTTCAATCAGAGCTTGGACCTCGTGACGTTGCCAAGCGCGCTCCTAAGCTTGACTCTTGGTGGGTTCAACCGAAGCCTGGAAGATGTCGCATTTCCAAGCGGTCTTCAAAGTTTGGCTTTTGGTGATGAATTTAACCAAAGAATGGAGAGAGTGACGTTGCCAAAGAGTCTTCAGAGTTTGAATTTTGGTCTTTGGTTCAACCAGAGCCTGACAAATGTGACGTTGCCGGGCAGCCTTCAAAGTTTGATTTTTGGTTCTGGATTTAAGCAGAGTCTGGAAGGTGTAGCCTTTTGTTTCTGGATTCAAGCATGGCCTGAAAGGTGTGACCTTACCCACCGGTCTTAAGCTTGACTTTTCCTTCCACAGTCCAGAAAGACCTTGAAGGTGCAAGCTTACCCAACAGTTTGCAAAGTCTGGTCTTGCAAGGCGTGCATTTGGCTGGCTGACCGCAACCGATCCCTCCAAGATCCTCAAAGTCGCTGAGAAATTCGAGGCAAAATCTTTATCCAGCTAGGTTTTTTTTGGAAAGAATTGCCAACCTTCATTTTGTGGGGTTATTCCGATCATTGTACTGGGGTTGGTCCCAAGTGTCTAGTGGTGCCGGCCTCAGGCTAAAAACGGTTTGTTTCTCTGTCGGTGTAACATCTTGTGACCTGCGAGTTTTATCGTTTGCATTCTGAGAGTTGATTCTGCTCCGATTCTTGTTTAATCTCCGATGTTTGCTAATAGTAATATATATGAATATATTATATCATAATATATCATATAATATCCCTTCCCATTTATTATTTGGGTATGTTGGAAGGGTACACGACATACATGCATCATCTCTTGTTGCTGATATTCCACTATCCTCACCGCACACTTTGTGAGATCGCCCATTCGATTTGGCCGTAAATGTTCTATAACGATGTTGCTTGGATAACCGTCCCAGGAAGTGGTTCAGAATCACTGTTGCGAAGTCCCATCTCGTTGGGGTTGTCCCATTTACCTGCTGAAGTCGGGTGATTTTGGTTGGACCCCATCCTTCCCAAATGAACAACGATCAAGCGCCTTGGTTGATGGTCTAATGTGGGATGAAATACCAAGTGGATACTCTCTGGTAAACTAACATAACTATGGAAAATCACCATTTTTAATAGGTAAAACAACTATAAATGGCCATGTTCAATAGCTATGTTAGTCATTACCAAGTGGATAAATTAGTTGGGACGATGGACCAATCATTCCTCATCGAGTCTACAGGAGCCCCGCATAGCAGGAAACCATGTTCTTTTTGGCTCGTTAGAGAATGTAAAACCATGGTTATACCATTGGTTATACCATGTATATATATATATATATACAATTATATACATACCATAGGTTGTACCATAGCTTATACAATAGCTTATACCATAAGTTATAGTTGCCATGGTTTCCTGCAGCTGTCGTGACATGGTCAATCGCTCTTGCAGGTTCTCTTGGAGGACGCCTTGAAACTCCTCAGAGAGGTATGCGGCCCGCTCTCCGCGGAGAATAAAAAATGATTTAATCACCAAATATGTGAGATTTTTCATGGGTATGTCATGGGATATAACCATATATAACCAACAACATTTTGATTGGCATATATTTTTTCCAAATGGATATAACTATGATATAAGCAAATATTCTGGATCATCTAATTGCGATAGAATGGGATGTAAGCAACATTTTTTGTGATGGCCTCATTCGGCTTCAAATATGGAGGATACAATGGGTCTATTGTAGTGATGGCTATCAATGGGATTTCATGAGATATGATATAAGCAATCAACTATTTTATCTGATATTTGTATATATTTGTTGTGTATACCCCAGAACAGCCGGAATTACACAGATTGGTTACCACATTGTCAACGAATCTAACAAAATCTAAGCAGACAAGAAAGACAGATATCATCACTGTTTCAAAGCATGGGAGTTTCGTGAACAAGAGTGGAACTGAACCAACAGGTGTTCGTGTTTCGGACTGGGGTGAACCTGGAACCATTATACGGAAACCAAGATTTGCTGAAATGATGCTTCCGATGTTTCTTATTGTCCTTTGGTGAATCCAGATATTGGACATCTCCTTTCGGAAGATGTTTCATGTGTTTGATCTAGGTTGGAAGGTGCCTTCCTTACTTTCCCACTTTTTGTTTTTTCGGGAACTAAATGAATCCATGTCCATGTCCATGTCCATCAATGAATCAATGTACTATATTTTTATGGCGGTTACCTTCCAGTAAATTAACACGTGATACATCCACCATAGATCATTTGGTGGCGGCAAAAATGCCTACAAAAGTCTATTCTCCAGCAATTTCCTACATTCTTACAGGATGGTGCCCCCCAGTTATAAGTGGGTTTATAAACCCCATTAACTATAGTTATATCTGCCATAAACCATAGTTATGGGACTTATAAACCAACTTAGCTAACTATGGGGCACCACGTTGTAGGGCATATGAATCCCCAACAAACGACACTACCCAGCATCCCCAACAGACGACTTAAGGCCCGGGAGACGGTCTGACATGGTCTGAACCAGGTTGCCGATGTGGCCACTAGCACTGGGATGGAGACTGGCTTGCGTCGAGGGCTCCAGGACTGGGCGGTTTTCCTACAGGATGGGCCCCCCCAGTTGTAAGTTGGCTAAAATTACTGAACACTTCAGGTGATCCCCACCATGACATTTATAGATTTTCTTACTGGCAAAGATTTCTATCTGACATATCTTCTGGCATTCTATCTGGCATTCTATCTGGCATATCTTCTGGCATATCTTCTGACATTCTTTCTGGCAAATCTTCTGGCATATCTTCTGGCATATCTATCTGGCATATCTTCTGGCATATCTATCTGGCATATCTTCTGGCATTCTATCTGGCATATCTTCTGGAATTCTATCTGACATATCTTCTGGCATTCTATCTGGCATTCTGGCATATCTTCTGACATTCTTTCTGGCAAATCTTCGGCATATCTTCTGGCATATCTATCTGGCATATCTTCTGGCATATCTATCTGGCATATCTTCTGGCTTCTATCTGACATATCTTCTGGGCATTCTATCTGGCATTCTATCTGGCATACTTCTGGCATATCCTCGGCATATCTTCTGGCATCTATCTGGCATATCTTCTGGCAAATCTTCTGACATTCGTTTGGCAAATCTTCTGGCATATCTTCTGGCATATCTATCTGGCATATCTTCTGGCATTCTATCTGGCATATCTTCTGGCATTCTATCTGATTCTATCTGGCATCTTCTGGCATATCTTCTGGCATATCTTCTGGCATTCTTCTGGCATATCTTCTGGCATTCTATCTGGCATATCTTCTGGCATATATCTTCTCTGGCATCTCTCTCTGGCATTCTATCTGGCATATCTTCTGGAATTCTATCTGACATATCTATCTGGCATATCTTATATTCTGACATTCTTTTGGGCAAATCTTCTGGCATTCTATCTGGCATTCTATCTGGCATATCTTCTGGCATATCTATCTGGCATATCTTCTGGCATTCTATCTGGCATATCTTCTGGAATTCTATCTGACATATCTTCTGGCATTCTATCTGGCATTCTATCTGGCATATCTATCTGGCATATCTTCTGGCATTCTATCTGGCATATCTTCTGGAATTCTATCTGACATATCTTCTGGCATTCTATCTGGCATTCTATCTGGCATTCTATCTGGCATACCTTCTGGCATATCTATCTGGCATATCTTCTGGCATTCTATCTGGCATATCTTCTGGCATATCTTCTGACATTCTTTCTGGCAAATCTTCTGGCATATCTCATGGCATTTTATCTGGCATATCTTCTGACATTCTATCTGGCATATCTTCTGACATTCTTTCTGGCATATCTTGTGACATTCTGTCTGGCATATCTTCTGACATTCTTTCTGACATTCTCATTCTATCTGGCATCTTTTCTGACATTCTTCCCGTTGAGGTCCGGCAGTGCCCACTGCGATCTGGAAGTCGCGGTTGAGGCCCGGCAGTGCCCACTGCGATCTGGAAGTCGCGGTTGAGGTCCGGCAGTGCCCACTGGGATCTGGAGCTCGCGGTTGAGGTCCGGCAGTGCCCACTGCGACCTGGAAGTTGCGGTTGAGGTCCGGCAGTGCCCACTGCGATCTGCAACTCGCGGTTGAGGTCCGGCAGTGCCCACTGGCTGTGCCCACTGGGGATCTGGACTGCGAGGAGGAGGCGGCGGCTGAGGAGGCGGAGGAGGCGGAGGTGGAGGCGGGGGAGGCGGAGGCGGAGGAGGAGGAGGAGGAGGAGGAGGAGAACAGCTCTGATAAAATCTAACAACCCTCACCTGGCAGGTGGGGAAAAAAACATGATAATCCCCATTAACTATAGTTATATCTACCATAAACCATTGTTAAGCCACTTATAAGGCAACTTAGCTATCTTGGGGGCCCCATCCTGGTACCCCCAAATCATCCATTTTAGATTGGGATTATCCATGAAATATATCATCCAGCGGGGTGCCAGCATGACTAAGGAAACCTCCAAATGAGGGCTTTTCCAGCAAGCCATGTTTGATTGCTGGAGGGTATGTTAACCAAACATGATAGTTTGGGGATGTTTGGGGGATGCTAGCACTGTAGGATGGACATGTAGTTGAGTTTAAAGGAACCCTTTGATGCAGTGGTGAAATGAAAGCATATATTACATCATAGTTTTAGGTGTTTTCTTGTGATATAATAACCAAAATAATTGTGGATGTTAAGCAGCCACAATTGGGATGCTAAGCGACATCAACCAAACATACATTAAGTTGGGCTAAAAACTGGCTTCAGGGGTGGAAATGGGGTCACCTAGTGACCTATCGCGAGTTTGGGGCTGTAGGTTAGTAACCTACACGGCTCAGGAGATTCCATCATCTTTGGGTAAAGCAATATATTTGTTGCGCATCGAAGATGAATTTTGCCAATTACATGATGTTAAAATCAGCAGTTGTTGGTTTCACATAGTAAAACCCAAATGCCCATTTTAGAACACATTTGTTTCTCACATGTTCTGCATTTTTAGCATGATTCAATTTTTTGGCGAAACATATCCCGTTAATTCCCGTGATATCCTCATACATGGTTGGTTTGATATTCCCATCGTGAAAACGGTCCCATTTCTGAAGCATAAATCCCAGTCCTAATTTTTTCCGGCTGATCTTGCCATATTTTCCCATAGTTTCCCTAATAACTATGCTATATTTTGGAGGAAATCTCCCATATTTTCAGAAAAACTCATTCTTGGACAGCCAGGCTGCGCAGGCTGCGGCCGCCACGGCAGCAGAGGCGATGTTACCGGGGATTGTTATTTTATCTTAGTAATTTCTACCAATTTGGGGAGTAATTTCTACCAAACCCCAGACATCGCAATGGCTTGCGGGACAAGAAACTTCGCCGAAAGTATGAGTTGAATTGAGAACATAGTACTAGTGCTATGCTATAATTTTATGGTTGCATAGGACTTGACATCATTACATCCAAATTTTGGCTTGTTGCATCCACGAATTTTCATGAGCATGTCAAATTGCTGTGTTGGTAGAACTAGGATGCAACCTATTTTACGTGAACCACATTGAATTACCTTGCTTTCTGAAGGTCAAAACACCCACATTTTGTTGTTGAAACCTCCATATCTTTCTGCTTTCATATTTTCACGTGTTCACCCTGTTCCAAATGTTTCCACGCATTTGGACATCGGACATGGACGAACTGGACGAACCCTGCTGCGTTTCGATGAACCCTTCCTGACCCAGGTGGCCCAACAGCCGACAGAACTGGATGAAGCCTTCGTAGCTCAGATGAGTTTACCGGAGTTTACCAATATCATGGGTTTAGCATGGCTTAGGGGTCGTTTAGATGTTCATTTAGTCATTTAGTGCTATTAGATAGTATTGGAAAAGAAGCGGAACACAATTGAAGATATACTGTAATCCTCAATAACGAACAAATAAATAACATAATAAATAAATAAATACATCTGGGTAAATTATAACGACCTCACTGCGACCTCGCTGGAATCATGGTTAGTAAGGGAAATCATCCCCAAATGGCCTTAATTCAGGATAGTGAATTATTATAATTTACCCAGATATATACATATACATAAGATATACTATATATAATATAGAATGACCTCTCATGGGGATTTCAACCATCACCATCACTGGGAAGAAGCACCCTCTTTAGCCATGCTATGGCAATCGTTTTTTTGTTAGTGGTAAAGCCTCTGGATTTACCAACAACTTGTGGGTTTTAACATGTTTTAACCAATTGGTGATGAAACTAACGCACCAGTGGGATCGAAATTTTGTTTTGTGATGCTGTAAACCTGAGTTAAGTTTTACTCAGCTTTTTGTTGGGTAAGGTTTGGACTAAATGAAAAATTGGGTATATAATTCGAGGATGGTCGGTTTATTCTTTGGTGTGCCATGAATGATTTATGTCCCGTATCCCATGTGGTCAGTCTAGTGTTGCAACACAGATCTTCAGATCTATCCCACAGAATCGGCACCAGTGTGCGAACTTGGACACATTGGGAACCCAGCAGAACCAATTTTTTTTTTGATTTTGGAGAAGCCTAAGAGTCTCCAACTTAGATATTTTGCCACCAACTTGGCTTGGTTTCATATTCATCACCAGCAAGTGGCTGTTTTGAGGTCGCCAAAGTGCTGCGAAAACTCTTCGAGAAACTTGGATCCACCTACATCAAGTGGCCCGGTGGCATTCTTCAACCAAAGTTCCATTTGGTACTAAAACATACCCTCTGGTAAACCAACATAGCTATTGAAAATGGCCCATTTAGTTCGTTGATTTACCTATATATTCAAGATGCTGATTTCCGATAGTTTTTTGTATGTTTAGCAGAGTGTATATTCCATTAGATCCCCCATTATATCCCTATGCTTGATACATCCCCAATATAATCCATTATTTTCCCAACATAAATCTGGTTGGTGGTTGGAACATTCTTTATTTTTCAATATATTCGGAATAATCATCCCAACTGACTTTCATATTTTTCAGAGGGGTAGGTATACCACCAACCAGAAATGGGTTATAAATGGGTCATCACTGGATAAAACCATGGAACATGCCAAGGCTGGGCCAATTCATTGCATCCTCGCCCACGGTCTTCCCTGCGGAGTATGTCAAGGAGTTCCAAGCCTGTTGGGGCCCTGGACAGGTATCCACTCAGTGGATCAGAAAGGTTAAACTTGTGAAGAAACTCTGGTAAACATTGAACAAACATTAAACAAACTCAAAAAGATGCGTGAAACAACAGATGAACACCTAGGGATTTTCATGCTGATGGAGGTTTTCCCATTGTTTTCCGATGTTTTTTTCTGGGAAAATCCAGGCCTAACTTCGGGAAACATCACGAAACGAAGTTCGCATTCTGAGGCCTGGATTCCACCAGCACGGTGTCCTTTGTGGAGGCGGGATGAGCCCTTTGTTCGATCATCCCGCCTCCAGGAATTTAACATAGCTATGGCAGCTATGGCAGCTATGGTATAGATGGCCCATTGAGGACTTGAGGACTTTGAAGCTGACTTAGCTAATTTCATGATTTTTCCATGGATGATTTTCCGGAGCAATGTGAAAAATTACCAGAGAGTAAGCTTCATCATGAAGAAATGGGGATGTCAGTTGATAAATGATGGTTGGTTGATGAGGCCGGTTTAGGGTGATAGTCAGACTACTCAGACTACCAAATTTATTGGGTATCATAGTGATGCCTATTGACTAGCCAGTATAATTGGATGAGGTAGGGGTATTTTTCCTGGCTATTTTTTCATCCCAAAATCTGATCCAGATGTCTGAGGGAATGATTGATTTTGGAATATGAGCAATTTGCCCAGAGCATAAAGCATCATAAAAGCATCCAAATTTCAGGTAAGAACTCAACCAACCACTTCGGCCTCCGACTTTTTTTCAACTCACACATTTCAGCCGCTCATCTTGGTGCTTTGGAAAGACACACATCCCCATCTTTGGGAGACTGATCCATCCTCACTGAGAAAGTTGCGAATGCCCCGAGCAATTCTGGTGGGAAACCGTCCATTTCAACACATCTGATCATGCATTGACTGAAAAAAAACTGGATGATCTTCCGATGATTTGATTTTAAAGAAACATATGGAGGGTGTGCCGGTTTACCCCCTTTACGATAGTTGCCTCTACTGTATGTTTTTCCCGTAATTAAAACACTCCATTGAGTGCAACAATTCAGCAATAATAGTAAAACTTCCCAAATATATGATGTCCAAATAATCTCAATTTATTGGTAGATACTCCAAATTCCGAATCCTAGTGCCTGACTCAGAGTCCCCGGTCGTTTCCCAATCTACTGAAGGGGAGTTTCCGAATTCGCTGACCATCCCCAATTTCCCCAAAGTTGAAACAGGCTTGCGGCAAATGATAGGCCACATATACTGTAGCCACTTTTGATGGAACATACTGGTCATTTGACCTCAGATCATCTACCCCAGTTTCCCCATCTGGGGTGGCCATGGAGCGTGATACGCCAGTGCACGTCCCAGGTGAAGCGCACTGTAGAGCGCGAGTCGGAAAACCGAGTCGGGATGACTGATGGGATGACCATTGCCATCGGTCCATGGTGAGGATATTCTTAGAAAGACTAGGCTGTCAACCCTGGATTAATAAACCCCAAACAGCTGTTTAATTGGGAAGGTACCGTTGAAGTATTAGATTATTATTAGATTATGACTATCGGAGGAGTATCCCCCTAATTAATCCGGGGTTGACATTACTGTATATGAGATATTTAGGAAAAGATACGCCAATAATTCTCAGTATATAAACGGTCAAACTGATACTACAATTCCTTATCTGTTTATTATTCTAATTTATGATGATGATTCGGGACCAGATAAGCCAAGAATCGTCAAAACCCTATATGCAACCGTTGATTTTTATAGATGACTGTTATTCATCTCATGGGTTGAAATCCCCAAAGTGGCGCTGCAGCACCTCGATGCCGGTCCTCTATTGTCTATCTACTCTGCAGCACATTCACACAGATATGGAGTCATTTAGTTTGGGGATTCAAAAATTGCCACGTTTGATTACCGGAGGCTAATTGGGATGCAATGAGTTTCTTTTTAAATGGGATAGAAGTAACCGACCATCACAAATGATATGTGGGTCGGTGTGTCTGAAAATGGGTTATGGCCCCCCAATTTATGGCCTTGTTAAGAGAGAAATCGATGAGTAACTATCAAATTCTTGGGTAAGCTATTTTCAGACAAACCCATTATGGGAAGTAAATCCAGTTGACTCTTGTCATTTGTTACATGGCTATGGAAAAAAGAAACACCGTTTTACTAGGTGGTTCATTCATACTTAAATGGGTCATCTATACCATAGCTACTTGTATGTATATAGCTACGTAACAAATGACCAGAGGGTAAGTAATGTGGGTAAAACAAGAATAAACCATCCCCCAGTCATCACCATTTTTATACAGTAAGTGGCATGTTTACCATTCCCAGTCATGGGTGGTTTATGACATTGTTTTACTCACATTAGTTCACATTAAACCATGGATTTTATGTGGGTGAAAATCAAGTCCCGTTAAACCATGGGTTATATGGGTTAAAACCCTATTAATACCTATTTATATATCCTATTAACATCTATTAACCACCATTAAAATCCCATGAATTTTGGGACCCACAGACTGTTGAGGCTCCCAGCGTCGCCCAGGTTAGGCCGCCCACTGCGCAGTGTTTTTGCCTTTGTGGATCCTACACCCTTGGTGAGTTGGCCCAGAACGGGTGCCGCGCGCGGTCGCGTGGGATATGTGGGATATGCCTCAATCCTGAGCTATAAGTTATGTGTGTTTGTCCACCAAACTGGGTATCCCATTTTCAAAGCCAAAACATACTGATTTTTCCACTAAAAAGGGTACCCAAGATCCAGTGGTTTAAATGTGGCTCATAGTTCTACATAACCATGTTATATATATATTATATATATATATTGAAATCGCAATTCTGGGGCATGCCCCATTTCTGGACAAAGCATGACAGACCAATGTACCACACCATCCCAATCCATCCCTTAAAGCCTGGTGTTGGATTTTCTATTTGGATCATTGGGGTCGGTTGATTTTGGCGACCAATCATGGCTGATCCGCCTTTTGAATGTCAAATCCTTCAGAAAAGATGCTCATGGGATTTAGACATCCTATTTTGTTGCTCCCAGTTGGGCACAGATCAAAATAGGAGACCCCCAAAAGTTGGAAGGAGCATACTGACTACATGATCATATGAATATCATACAGACTGACAATTTCATCTTCAGGTCAGATTTTTGGAATGCGCCGCCCCCAATTATCCCATGGCCGCGAATCAGACAGATGTCCGGCTCGAAGATCAGGAGAATCTCATCTTCCAGGTCCACTTTCCTATAGATTGATCAAACCTAGATCAGCCTAGATCCCATCGTTTATCGGAGTTTATCGTTTCATTTTCCCCATGAACATGTCATTAAAAATATTAAAAGTGGTATCCACCCTTTTGGGACCAACCCATGTGATGCCAGTTTGCCGATTACCAAGCTGTTTCGGAAGGGTTTAGGCTTCATCCATGTCGAACATGGCGAACGGCGGGGGCTATGCTGCGTCCTCTGCCCTTCTGGGAGGAGAGCCTGTGATGGATCTGCAGGTGCTGTGCATGAACGGTGAAGGGCTGACGTTGAGGATCCCCTGCAACACCTTTGGGCAGGAAGTGCGCAAGATGGTCTCGGAGAAACTTCCGCCCAAGCCAGGGGCAAAGCTTGTTCTGACCCATGGTGATTCTGAGCTATTGCTCTATCAAACCTTGCAAAGGCAGCAAGGAATTGTTGGCCAGGATGTGACCTTGTCATGTACCTTTTTGCCAACAAATGTGCTTTCTGCATGGTGTTTTGTTCAAGAATATTACACTTCTGAACAAGAGTTTGCCCTGGAGGGGATAACACGTTTGAAGGGTGTAGCAGGTGGCGAGTGTCTTTACAACCTTCCGAAGTGCCTCGAAAGCTTGACTTTTGCTTGGCACTTCAATCGTAGCCTGCAGGGTGTGAAGTGGCCAAGCAGCCTTAGGAACTTGACTCTTGGTGCCCACTTCAACTGGAGCTTGGAGGGCGTAGCCTTACCAAGCACTCTCCAAAGCTTGAGCTTTGGTGCTGCTTTCAACCAGAGCCTGGATCGTGTGACCTTACCAAGCAGTCTCCAGAGCTTGATCTTTGGCCGTGATTTTGATTCGAGCCTGGAGAATGTGAAATTGCCAAGCAGTCTGCAACACTTGTGTTTGGGTCGTGAGTTTAATCGCAGCTTGGAACACGTCGCATTGCCAAATAGTTTGCACAGTTTGACATTTGGTCGTCATTTCAACCGCAGCTTGGAACGTGTAGCATTGCCAAGCGGTCTGCAAATTTTGACATTTAGCCATGATTTCAACTCAAGCCTGCAACGCGTGACATTACCAATGAGTTTGCGCAGCTTGACTCTTGGCCGTCATTTTAACTGCAGCTTAGAACATGTAGCATTGCCCAGTAGTCTGCAAAGTTTGACATTTGGTCGTCATTTCAATCGCAGCTTGGAACACGTAGCACTGCCAAGTGGTTTGCAAAGTTTGACATTTGGCCGTGATTTCAACTCGAGCCTAGAGAATGTGAAATTGCCAAGCACTCTGCAAAACCTGTTTTTTGGTTGTCATTTCAACTGCAGCTTAGAACATGTAGCATTGCCCAGTAGTCTGCAAAGTTTGACATTTGGTCGTCATTTCAATCGCAGCTTGGAACACGTAGCACTGCCAAGTGATTTGCAAAGCTTGGCGTGTTTTGATGCCTTCAACCAAAGCCTGGAATTCCTACCAAACTGTATTCGAATGTTGACACTTGGGGGTAGGTTTAACCAGAGGCTTGAACGTTCGGTGTTACCAAGCACCCTTCAATATTTGGAATTTGGCAAAGAGTTCAACGGCTCTTTGGAGCGACTGACTTTGCCAGACAGTGTTCAAACCCTCATTTTTGGTTGTGACTTCAACCAGAGCCTCGACGATGTGATCTTCCCAAGCAATCTTCAAGCTTTGGCTTTCGGTCGTGATTTCGACCAGAGCCTGGAACATGTGAACCTGCCAAACAGCCTTCATGCATTGACGTTTGGTGATAATTTCAACCAGCGCCTCGATAACGTTGTTTTGCCAAACAGCCTTCAGAGCTTAACTTTTGGGAGGCGATTCAACCAGAGTCTCCAAGATGTGATTTTTCCAAGTACTCTTCAAGATTTGGCATTCGGCCATGATTTCAACCAGATCCTAGAAAGTATCAACTGGCCAAGCAGTCTTCAGAATTTGATTCTTGGCGACTGTTTCAATCAGAATCTGGAGCATGTGACATTCCCTTGCCATATCTTGCCATATTAAAAGCTTGACTTTGGGCAAAAGGTTCATGCCGAGCCTGGCAGCTGTCAGATTTCCAAGCAGCCTTGAGAGTTTGATCGTGCTGGATGCAGATATCACTATACCAAACAGGCCTGTGGCAAAGCAGCCAGCAAATTTGCGGCTGCCGCTGCCATTACCAAGCCATTCGCCCCGCCATTCAATCCCCCTCCTCCACCATTTCCAGTGCACCTACCTTTCGGACTTCCAGGAATCAGCGCGCCTCCACCATTTAAAGAACCGCAGCCTGTTCCAGGCGGTCTTCATACCTTCGTCAGACGAGTGTTGGTGAGCTGCAAGCAGGCGAGCGCTTGACAGTGCTTGCATTTGGCCCAAAAAAGGAGCAGGTGGTGCACGGAATCCAGGCTGGGAAGAATCGGACAAATCAACTGATTTTACAACATTGGAACCTCCAGTTTACCTGAAATTTGCCGGGTTTGCAGCTTTCCAAGAATGGGGTACAGCACCTCCCATTCCAAAGGACTGACTACTGCAGACTGTGCAAACACAACTGCCAAGGGGAAAAAACACCGCAGCGTACCGCAGCCATTCGAAGAACAAGGACTCATTGGTCCCTGTAAGTTCACCAAGCTTGTTGAAAAGATACAATTCACGGCGGGTATACGTTACTTGCGTAGGGGTTGTCCATTTCCCATACCCAATTTTGATCATAATTTCAGAACAGCGTGATATAATACCCACAGTCCGAAAACCAGAATTCATGAACTTTGGCACACCCCAAAAATCCATTTCGAAGGCAAGTGCCAAACCTTTCACTGCCCCTGAATCTATTTCGCCCGCACAAAAACAACCTCGAAAAAAGAGCAGCAAAGACATTCACAAAGATCCCGATACCATCTACCAAATATTCCAACAGGATGATTACCCACATTTTTGATCAATGCGCCGCCTTGCTTCTGGGACGACAACATTAAACAGAGGCTGGTCCATTTGGTGGAAGGGGCAGACAGGGATTGAATGGAACTTGCGCATTGCATGTATCGTAAGTTTTTTTAAAATGCCATTGCATTCCTTCGATCTTGGAAATGTCTTTGTGACTTGTGCATGGACCTGTGCAAAGTGTTTGTGCCTCAGCGTAGTGTTGGCGAGGCAGAATGTGGAAGAATCTCTGTATGGCTGTGCGGAAAGCTGTTGTTACTTCCGCAATGCTGGCTCAAGCCTCAGCCCCAAGTTGATACCCTACCGGTAAACGCAGACTCACTCGGCGAGAATGATGCTGTGGGTTCTGCTGTGGCTGCAACCTTTCATTTCTATGTGCGAGGGATGTGTGTCCGAAACCTGTGGTGGGCCACAGCAAACTGCCGAAGCTTCGGATGCATTTGCTTCGATTCAAGTCATGGGGAAGCAGACAACCGAAAAAGAACTCGGCGACAAGGTTGTAGTCGAACAAATCTACAAGCATAATGAGGACGGCACAGGCACAATCATCTTCAAGTATGAGGATGGCACGGAGGAAGTGTTCGATGTTCTGGATCCAAATTCTCCAGGGCTTTTGCAAGAACAAAGCACCCAAGAAGGCTTCCCGTGGAAGAAGATATGGAAGATCAAAAAGATCAAGGAAGCGCTGGACCGCCGACGCCAGGATCCCTCCACCACCACCACCACCAGCACCTCCTCATGCACAAGTGGGGACTTCTCTTTCTCGTTCCTCAACGCCGCAGCCAACGATCCCGCTGAAGGCATAGTCACTGGTTGCATCAGTGGGCTATCGTGCAACAACAACACTGCTCAAGCAACCTCGGTTCGAGTCCTCACGAATGAAGCTGGCTTTGGCCTTGGCGAGTATATTTCTGCTGACCAGAACGTTGCCACTAACACTTTCAATGTGAATGCTGGGTGTGAGATTGTGAAACCAACCAACTTCAACTCCGCCGGGAACCGCAGCTTGTCACTTAACTTCATTGGCACCCTTCCAGTTCCATGTGCTGGGCTGTCGAATTCTCTCTTTGTTTCAGTACGTTGCGAAACTGGCAGTGATCAAGTGAAATTCCAGTACATTTCTTGAGATTTCTTGAGGAAACTGCAGCACTAATTTCAAATTCTTTCAAATTTGAGAGGCCTACTAGAAAGCAACACAGCTTTGAAGCGCAGAAAAAACATGCAGAGCTGCTGATCCACCTGGCTTCTGATTTTGGACAGATTGTAGCCATTGATTTGAGCATTTCAACAGCATCATCCGGGGTCTACCAGTCTCTCCGTTGCGCCCTGGCAGGTGAACAGCAGCTGCGGATTTCAAGCAGAGACTGAAACAGTTGCAACCTGCCGGAAAAAAAAAGTGCCATCGAAAAAAAATAGGAATAGCAGGTCAAGAAGC